CGTCTATAGTTTGTAGCTATCAGTCCATGTACGTGCAGACGGCATTATTATAGCAGGGTCATGTTTCGTCTATAGTTTGTATATATCAGTCCATGTCCGTACCGACGGCATCCTTATAGCAGGATCATGTTTCGTCTATAGTTTGTAGATATCAGTCCATGTACGTACAGACGGCATCCTTATAGCAGGATCATGTTTGTCTATAGTTTGTAGATATCAGTCCGTGTACGTGCGGATGGCATTCTTATAGCAGGATCATGTTTGTCTATAGTTTGTAGATATCAGTCCATGTACGTACAGACGGCATCCTTATAGCAGGATCATGTTTGTCTATAGTTTGTAGCTATCAGTCCATGTACGTGCAGACGGCATTATTATAGCAGGATCATGTTTGTCTATAGTTTGTAGACATCAGTCCATGTACGTACAGACGGCAGTCTTATAGCAGGGTCATGTTTCGTCTATAGTTTGTAGATATCAGTCCATGTACGTGCGGATGGCATCCTTATAGCAGGATCATGTTTGTCTATAGTTTGTAGATATCAGTCCATGTACGTGCGGATGGCATCCTTATAGCAGGATCATGTTTCGTCTATAGTTTGTAGATATCAGTCCATGTACATACAAACGGCATCCTTATAGCAGGATCATGTTTCGTCTATAGTTTTTAGATATCAGTCCATGTACATACAAACGGCATCCTTATAGCAGGATCATGTTTCGTCTATAGTTTGTAGATATCAGTCCATGTACGTACAGACGGCATCCTTATAGCAGGATCATGTTTCGTCTATAGTTTGTAGATATCAGTCCATGTACATACAAACGGTATCCTTATAGCAGGATCATGTTTCGTCTATAGTTTGTAGATATCAGTCCATGTACATACAAACGGCATCCTTATAGCAGGATCATGTTTCGTCTATAGTTTGTAGATATCAGTCCATGTCCGTACCGACGGCATCCTTATAGCAGGATCATGTTTGTCTATAGTTTGTAGCTATCAGTCCATGTACGTACAGACGGCATCCTTATAGCAGGATCATGTTTGTCTATAGTTTGTAGATATCAGTCCATGTCCGTACCGACGGCATCCTTATAGCAGGGTCGTGTTTAACTGTCACTTGTGTACTCTTGCACGCATTGAAGAAACAGGTCACAGAAACATAGGGTGTTAATGATATTTTCGTAGTGCACACTCAGAAGGATTGGCAACTAAGGATAGAAAAGAAAGAATGTTCTTTGAAACTGATTTTTATAACAAGGTTGCGTCACATCGGACATGTGTGTGTTCATCATTACGTCACATATCGGAGGGGCCGTGGGGTAACCCAGTGGCTAAAGTGGAATATCCGGGTTCGATTCCCCAAATAGGTACAATATGTAAAGATCTCCTGTGTCCCCCGACGTGCTATTGCTGAAACATTGCAAATACCGGACACATGTGTGTTCATCATCGCGTCACATAACCCATAACCGATAAAAAAAATATATAATCGATAAGCCGTATATGAGGAATGTCTGCATGTGTGCTGCTAATATGAAACGAATTGTAAGCGAAATACATATCATTAAAATGTAAGTAAGCGTTTACTTTGATCACTCAATCCAAGTCCAACCACGTCCATATCCCTGTCACCATAGATACCTCTCTGTAGTCTAACCTTGGTCCATATCCCTGTGACCATAGATACCTCTCTGTAGTCTAACCTTGGTCCATATACCTGTCACCATAGATACCTATCTGTAGTCTAACCATGTCACACATTGGTCCATATCCCTGTAACCATAGATACCTCTCTGTAGTCCAACCACGTCACACCTTGGTCCATATCCCTGTCACCATAGGTACCTGTCTGTAGTCCAACCACGTCACACCTTGGTCCATATCCCTGTCACCATAGATACCCCTCTGTAGTCCAACCACGTCACACCTTGGTCCATATCCCTGTCACCATAGATACCTATCTGTAGTCTAACCTTGGTCCATATCCCTGTCACCATAGATACCTATCTGTAGTCTAATCATGTCACACCTTGGTTTAATCCCTGTCACCATAGGTACCTCTCTGTAGTCAAACCACGTCACACCTTGGTCTATAGCCCTGTCACCATAGATACCTCTCTGTAGTCCAACCACGTCACACCTTGGTCTATAGCCCTGTCACCATAGATACCTCTCTGTAGTCTTACCATGTCACACCTTGGTCTATATCCCTGTCACCATAGATACTTTTCTGTAGTCCAACCACGTCACACCTTGGTCTATATCCCCGTCACCATAGATACCCCTCTGTAGTCTAACCATGTCACACCTTGGTCCATATCCCTGTCACCATAGATACCTCTTTATAGTCCAACCACGTCACACCTTGGTCCATATCCCTGTCACCATAGATACCTATCTGTAGTCTAACCTTGGTCCATATCCCTGTCACCATAGATACCTATCTGTAGTCTAACCATGTCACACATTTGTCCATATCCCTGTCACCATAGATACCTATCTGTAGTCCAACCACGTCACACCTTGGTCTATATCCCCGTCACCATAGATACCCCTCTATAGTCCAACCACATCAAACCTTGGTCCATATCCCTGTCACCATAGATACCTATCTGTAGTCTAACCTTGGTCCATATCCCTATCACCATAGATACCTATCTGTAGTCTAATCACGTCACACCTTGGTCTATATCCCTGTCACCATAGAAACCTCTCTATAGTCCAACAACGTCACACCTTGGTCCATATCCCTGTAACCATAGATACCTCTTTGTAGTCCAACCACGTCACACCTTGGTCTATATCCCTGTCACCATAGATACCTCTCTGTAGTCCAACCACGTCACACCTTGGTCCATATCCCTGTCACCATAGATACCTCTCTGTAGTCCAACCATGTCACACCTTGGTCTATATCCCTGTCACCATAGATACTTCTCTGTAGTCCAACCACGTCAAACCTTGGTCCATATCCCTGTCACCATAGATACCCCTCTGTAGTCCAACCACGTCACACCTTGGTCTATATCCCTTTCACCATAGATACTTCTCTGTAGTCCAACCACGTCACACCTTGGTCCATATCCCTGTCACCATAGATACTTCTCTGTAGTCCAACCACGTCACATCTTGGTCTATATCCCTGTCACCATAGATACCTATCTGTAGTCTAACCACGTCACACCTTGGTCTATATCCCTGTCACCATAGAAACCTCTCTGTAGTCCAACCACGTCACACCTTGGTCTATATCCCTGTCACCATAGAAACCTCTCTGTAGTCTAACCATGTCACACCTTGGTCCATATCCCTGTCACCATAGATACTTCTCTGTAGTCCAACCACGTCACATCTTGGTCTATATCCCTGTCACCATAGATACCTCTCTGTAGTCCAACCACGTCAAACCTTGGTCCATATCCCTGTCACCATAGGTACCTCTTTGTATTCCAACCACGTCACACCTTGGTCTATATCCCTGTCACCATAGATACCTGTCTGTAGTCCAACCACGTCACACCTTGGTCCATATCCCTGTCACCATAGATACCCCTCTGTAGTCCAACCACGTCACACCTTGGTCTATATCCCTGTCACCATAGATACTTCTCTGTAGTCCAACCACGTCACACCTTGGTCCATATCCCTGTCACCATAGATACTTCTCTGTAGTCCAACCACGTCACATCTTGGTCTATATCCCTGTCACCATAGATACCTATCTGTAGTCTAACCACGTCACACCTTGGTCTATATCCCTGTCACCATAGAAACCTCTCTGTAGTCCAACCACGTCACACCTTGGTCTATATCCCTGTCACCATAGAAACCTCTCTGTAGTCTAACCATGTCACACCTTGGTCCATATCCCTGTCACCATAGATACTTCTCTGTAGTCCAACCACGTCACATCTTGGTCTATATCCCTGTCACCATAGATACATATCTGTAGTCCAACCACGTCAAACCTTGGTCCATATCCCTGTCACCATAGGTACCTCTTTGTATTCCAACCACGTCACACCTTGGTCTATATCCCTGTCACCATAGATACCTGTCTGTAGTCCAACCACGTCACACCTTGGTCCATATCCCTGTCACCATAGATACCCCTCTGTAGTCCAACCACGTCACACCTTGGTCTATATCCCTGTCACCATAGATACTTCTCTGTAGTCCAACCACGTCACACCTTGGTCTATATCCCTGTCACCATAGAAACCTCTCTGTAGTCTAACCATGTCACACCTTGGTCCATATCCCTGTCACCATAGATACTTCTCTGTAGTCCAACCACGTCACATCTTGGTCTATATCCCTGTCACCATAGATACATATCTGTAGTCCAACCACGTCAAACCTTGGTCCATATCCCTGTCACCATAGGTACCTCTTTGTATTCCAACCACGTCACACCTTGGTCTATATCCCTGTCACCATAGATACCTATCTGTAGTCTAACCACGTCACACCTTGGTCTATATCCCTGTCACCATAGAAACCTCTCTGTAGTCCAACCACGTCACACCTTGGTCTATATCCCTGTCACCATAGAAACCTCTCTGTAGTCTAACCATGTCACACCTTGGTCCATATCCCTGTCACCGTAGACACCTCTATGTACTCATGGGCAATTTACAATGTTATGTTTTATTATTTTTTTAGATTATTAAATGATAAGATTTGAACAGAAGAGCAGCGTTGAGGAACGCCATGGATAATCTGCTAATTATTATGATCGTTCTTATGTGTAACAGAGGTAAGCGTAAAGATGTCGCTTGACAAGAGTGAGTGAGTGAGTGAATATGGTTTTACGCCGCTTTTAGCAATATTCCAGCAATATCACGGCGGGGGACACCAGAAATGGGCTTCACACGCTTGGCAAGAGGCTGTCCTACTCAAACAATGAATGTTATTAGCAAACGGTTATAATAGAGCATAGGTGCGTCTTAAGTATATTGGGTTTTTGATTTCAATTTTATCTTTTCAGGCTGTGATGTAATTTGCGGTATTCAAACCTGAAAGTGAATATGCGCGCACGCGTGTGGCATACGTGTTTGTTGGCACTTATTCTGTCTCTCAATCCAGGCTGCTTTGGGAACGCCGGCAGTGACTTTGTGTTTGCCTTTATACAAGTGTACCACACAAATGACAGCTATGACTATCTGGTCCTAACACCAACCACGGACCAGGGAGCAGAGGTGAGAGTTATCGCCCCTGGATATCCTAACCTGGTCAACGAAACCATCATTCTTGCCCCAGGTCAAATACATTCTCTGAAAGTTCACGGAGCAATGGCAATGAACTATGGGTCTTACATAGACAGAAGAGGTATACATGTGACGTCATCACATCATATAACCGTTGTAGGAATCGACACGGAGTCGTGGAAAGGATCCGGCAGCAACTACGACTCATTTCTTGTTCGACCAACGGATCAGTTAGGGAATGAGTACTATGCTGTTTGTTATTATATCACGAACAGTGCGGCTGGATCGACGTTTGCTGTTGTCGCCACCAATAATGATACCTTGGTTTCCATCACCTTGACAACATCAGATAATGTGACCGTAACGTTCGACAGTGACACATACTCAAATGGTGACATAATAACAAGGACCCTGGAACAGTATGATGTACTCCAAATTCAGACTCGTTCTGATCTCACCGGAAGTCACGTGATTGCAAATAAGCCCATCACCGCCTATAGTGGCGTTAATCGAACACGTGTTCACTTTTATGGATGCTCGTCCACAATGGTTGACCAGCTTCCTCCAGTAAACGTTTGGGGGAAGGACTATGTGACAGTGCCGTTTCCGAACAGAATGTCAGGAGACATCTACAGAGTGCTGGCTAGCTGGGCCAACACGGCGTTGTATGTATATGGCATAGGTTCATACCTCTTACGGGAACCTGGAAACTGGATGGAGTTTTACTTGGAAAATGCTACATACGTTCGAGCAAACAAACCTGTACAGGTGGCCCAGTTGTCGGTCAGTCGCACCTCTGATGAAGGTGACCCATCATTGTTGATACTGTCCCCCATAGATGCAGCAAGAACATCATACGTCTTTGGTGTCAGTGTGACGGGTAAATGGCGGTATTACGTGGCAGTTGTCATTCAAGAATTTGCGATAGCTGGTTTGCTTTTCAATAACCAAAGTGTTAACGTCTCTAACGTCTCAGTCGAACAAGCAGAAGGAAGCCAGTATGCAATTGTTTATATTGAACTGATGAAATCGGCCTACCACAATACTATCACACATGAGGGGCACGTTTCGTTCTTGGCCTATGTGTATTCGGGCGAAAAGTGTAAAGCTACGGCACACTCGTTAGGAACTGCAGCGTCAACGCTTTTTGCCGTGAGTTTTTCCTGTTGGTCTCTTTTTGAAAGTGCGTGTGTGCGTGCATGTTGTGTGTGCCTGCATCTTTTTGTGTGTATCTGTGTATGGTGTAGTTAGGTGATAACCTTTCAAACATCTGTTTTCTGTATGTATTCATTGCGTATATGTTTTAATTGTTTGACCTTTTCACTAAGAACTAACAATATAGATATATGTATGACTGCTAGAATTGGTCCCCAGCATTGTATGCGACCAAATGGTTAGTTTTCAGGTTCTGTGATTTGGTAGGTGTGTGTATCGTTGCTCATAATATCGATCACTAGATTGCTTGGTCCAGACTCGATTATTTACCGGCCGCTGTCATAGAGTTGGAATATTGCCGAGTACGGCGCTAAACAACAAACTAACAAATCAGTTCTCAATGACGTTTTCCTCGGCCGACTACCTGTGTATACTGTGAATGCCATGTTATCTATGTCTGTTCTCATGCTGAAAGGTGTGGACGTGGACGAGGTGTGGTTCGGCTTCTGGCTATCTTACCTCAATGTTCAATGACCAACATTTCAGGCCTGTGCACCAACCTATGGTTACCCAGGAGACGGCGTGGACAACGACTGTGACGGCGTCGTTGACGAGGAGGCCTGTTGTGTGAACAAGGATGGAATAGGTACTTATACATATCTTCTCGTCGGTGTCAGTCCTTGGCATCGGGCTACAGGTCTACACGATGTAATGTCTGCTGTTGTCTGCTGTTGTCTGCTGTTGTCTGCTCGAGGCACAAGAGCAGAGGACCGTGTCTCTCAATCTCCAGCCCCCGATACTTTTACTGTCGATTGAAAAAGAAGTTTGATCTTCCCGTCGAGACTTGGTTCGAGAATGACGTCTTCTCATGTACCCTTAAATGTTTAGCAAATTGGCAAATCACCAGGAATTTAAATTTCAAATTTCACCATGATGGCTACAGTGCTAACATACTATTGTCGACAACAGTTATGATTTTACAGTCACCTACTTGTTCATGTATCAGTAATATCTGAAAGCATAAACCAAATAGTTTTCATACATAAAAATGTGTTCAAAAACACCGTGGAATATATTCAGCCAAAGGATTGTAAAGGTCGGTAAATTAGACCCCGGTTAGCCCATATGCAGGACGAGATGTTATGCCTAATACAAGTAATTAATAGCGACAAAAGCCTATCCATAACCATAGGAACTATCTGACAAAAGCAGAATCAATCGTACGACTTTGATTGTATTATATGTGTTTACACACACGTGCATTCACGTCGCTCTAATCTTGCAATAATCTTAAACGCGAAGTTAAATCCAACTCACCTCACCTGTAACCCTGATCAAACAACTTTTGAGCAAGGATCGTATGACGCTCTTTGAAATCTTTGTAGAATCAACATGCTCGATTGTGCCTCAAAAGTTGCGAAATGTAGACAGAAAAGGTTGGATCTGCTGGAATATTGCTCCACATAACGGGAAAGTTGAGAAAGGTTTCAGGTCTTTCTTGGGAACGGTCTTCGTAATGGTACAGTCCGTTTGACTCCAAATGAGAACGATGAATTGCAAAATAACTCGAAATCCAGAAAAGTGTATGAAACATCAATACGGTACTTGACCATGAATACCCTGTACCCAACAAAACCTGAATGTTGTTTAATTTAAGACCCATGGCGGATGAAGTTCTTTAAGAAACTATCATGTAATTTTGTATAGAAACGTGTATTTGACACGAAGGGGGACAAACCGTGGAAGGAACAGCACAAGCACGGTCTGCACGTGCGACACAGTGACCGTGTTCATTCAATGACAAGATGCGCTACTCAGCAGATGTTAAACAGTTGATGTTGAATGTGTATGATTTCTTTAGAAGTGAAGCAGAAAGAGCAAAGCCTTTTTATGCAATTAATAAATTCTTGAAACGAGCTTCAAAAGCTCTTGGTATGTCCCCTCAGAAACGTAAAAATGTTGTTAGTCGACGAGATACAGATAGTCAGGCCAAGGAGGTAGGGAACATGTCAAAACCACGCAAGGTTGATAATTTAGACAGTTTTCAGAGGGATCAAGTCAGACGTGCAATTGTTAAACTGCACTCAGAAAATAAGTACCTGTCCCTAGAGTTTTGAAGAAACACCTTGAAACTGACCATGATTTACGTGTTACAAAGTACAAACTATGGCAGCTGTTGCATACATTTGGTTACAAATACAAAAAGATAACTGGAGAAAATAGGGCTGTGTTGTGTGAACAGTCTGACATTGTTCGTCTCCGAAATCATTACCTTCGTACCATCAAGCAGAAACGTAAAGAAGGATATGAGCCCGTCTTCTTAGATGAGACATGGGTAAATGCGTCACACACAGCCAGCAGTCAGTGGGTACCCAGTGGTGACTGTAAGGAGTCTGGTAGAAAGTTACCAATGGGAAAGGATGAAAGACTCATAGTTCTCCATGCTGGTTCTGCTAGTCAGGGTTTTCTCCCAGACTGTGACCTCGTCTTTAGAGCCAAGGCCAAAGACAACAGGGACTACCACACAGAAATGAACGGCAATGTATTTCTGGAGTGGGTGAAAGATAAATTAGTCCCTGCTTTGCCTACCAAGTCTCTCTTTGTCATGGACAATGCACCGTATCATAGTGTGCAGGATCCAGAAAGCAAGACTCCAACCTCTAATAACCGTAAAGGAGACATGGTTACTTGGCTGCAACGGAGGAACATTACCTTTCCTTCTCGAGCGACGAAACCACAGCTCTATGAAATCATCAAAACTATGAAACCTGACCCCGTGTATAAAGTTGACAGTTAAGGAATCCCTTGGTCGGGTAACAGTAGAAACATGGAGGCGTTGTGTGGCCACAGTCGTTGACGAGATAGAGCCACGTTATTGGTCACGAGATTGACTACGGCCAGCCACAGTCCAACCTATAATAGTTATAATAGTGGCAGTCGGTTCAGGCACCAGCAGTTCCGACGACGAGATCTATGGCATGAGCGAGTCAGATTGCGACTGAAATTATCATGAGACTGCCCCTCTAACGCTCTGTCATTTCCCCTACCACAGAACGTGCAGTACATGCGTGCTTGCGCTGTGCCTTCCAAGGTTTGTCCCCCCCCCCTACGTGTCATGTACACATTTCTATACAAAATTACATGATAGTTTCTTAAAGAACTTCATCCGTCATGGGTCTTAAAATAAACAAAATTCAGATTTTGTTGGGTACAGGGTATTCATGGTCAAGTACCGTATTGATGTTTCATACACTTTTCTGGATTTCGAGTTATTTTGCAATTCATCGTTCTCAAACGGACTTCTTTTTTTGTAGTGTGACTTTAACATCTCGTTAATCAGCTTGTCATCGGTGGGAACAACTTCGTAACATTGATGGGGTGATGTGACGTTGGGGTGTATTTAGTATTTAGTATTGTCCCTAATGACTAAAAGGAGGAACTGTTCTCATGGTGCACTTTGATATTTCAGATGACGACCTAGATATGGTGGTTGACGAGGACTGCTACGCTCCTCCAGGTACAGATAAATACACGCACGCGCGCGCGCGCGCACGCACACACACACACACACACACACACACACACACGTGCACAAATCATCTTAAGCATACACATTACAATCCCACCTACCTATCGGGACACCCAGCGTGTAATTGTGTGGAATGTGCCTTAAATACACTTTGAGATAATCTTAGGAAGGGTCGATAACACATCGCTTTGAGACCGAGCACATTTTGATTGTAACTAGCTGTGTCATACCCGGGTCCAACATATACTTGTATAATGGTTTTGTCGACAAACCATGATCACACTGAATTATCCTTGCCCTTAGATCTATTGGTTGAATAGTGAATCATTATTTTGAGAATCATCTGTTACTCACCGCACATTTAAGACGTGTTCTATATTCCAGGTGTGGAGATGAGCAGTGTCTCGGGGCATGCTGTGTGCTGTAGAGGGGACACAACCTACTTGTGTGAAGGTAATGCCCCACACTATGTACTGCTAGATATTCTCCCAGCAGTGCGTACATTGGCACTCAAGTTACGATACATCATATCCCGATATTTTGTCTTATAATACCATACATTACCTATTAGTAGCATTGGCATTATTCAATTGATTGCATTACGATCATATATGAGTTGTAGGAATTACATGTATAATTATTTTTAGATATTAAACTATAACTGGTCGGACATATAACTTATATTTGTTTTCAAGCATAAACTGCTATTTATGTTCATCATATGCCGACCAGCTGAAACATTGGTGGGCCGGCATAGATTAGTCTCTCAACAAATTGTAGTCTGACAAAGCTTGTTACAGGCCCACATGTTTACTTTCCCTTTTCCACAGAAATCGTAAGAAATGGACATTTCAAAAGGATGGGCGACAAAAAGTACTTGGCCACTGACATGGCAGCATCTCATACCCGCAACAAACAGCAGTGTTTCCATAACTGTGGCAGAGAGAAGGACTGTTGGGCTCTCAACTACCACCCGCCATCTTTATCTGGAGACGGTAACTGTGAATTACTCCGTGGAGCAGTGACCGGCTCCACACAGGAAGGGAGCTGGACACACTATCAACTGGACAGATCTTGGTCGCAATATGTACCCCTTTGAGTAGCATTGCTCGTGTCATCCTTCACAAAAGGCGAGGGAATGTTGTAGGTCAATTGATCATGTTAAATACGATCCAAACGTATTTACTCAATCTGTGTATCATTACAAAAACAAATAAGCAGGGTTTTTTGCGGAAAGCTTTCTTTAAAAAATAACTATAGCGTATGTACCGAGGCGGACATGAACATTTGGAATTTTTCTTGTTGAGCTTTGTTGAATACTGTGTTTCAGGTGTGACCCTTGACATGTATAAGTTTAAATATCACAATTCCCGTTTTTACTTGCTCTCAAACACTGACTTCCCCAACTTCAGAAGACAATTAAATTATAACCAACTTGGACTTTAACCCGTTTCTAGTTAGTACTCGAAGACCCATAAATGTTCATGGGCATTAATAATATTAGCACACAAAGCCTGGGTCGAAAAGCCTTCGACTACATTCATGCAACTCACAGGAGAAACACAGCCAACAAGCGCTGCGCAGGCAGGGCGTCACACTGTGTGCTGACTGTGTGTGCAGGCTACCCTTTAGTTCACACCATTTTTATTAACACAGTATTCTCTATGGAACAAAGACCGCCTCAGTGGTCAAGTTATTGAGCGCCCACCCGGAGAGCGGAAGGTCGGGAGCTCGATCCCCGGTTGCGTCATACCAAACGATGCAAAAGATGGTACTTGCGCTCGGCATTAAGGGGCTAAAACAAGAACTGTATCTGAGTGGGGTATTCATGTTAAACTGCGGCACGGTTGGTGGTAGTATTCAACACAACTTATCTTTACATTCTTGTGGACCCATATTTTGTGGGTGTTTTTTTCGGTCTGTTGCTCCGGGACTATGGTCTCTGGTTGATGTTTTTTGGTCTGCGGATTATGTTACCAAAGCCTTGTGATCGATGGATTACAACTTGTGCAGCGTCACTAAAGCTCACCTGGATATTAGTAAACAGTATGAGATGAGTTGAACTAAATACATGTATGTTACCACGAGGAGATACAAACATGCGTACATTTCAGAGGATAAGCTTAAAGAGCCATACAGGAATGTGAGAGTATGGTCAAAACAAGATAAACTGTTTTGCGAAAAACGGAACATACCAGTATTTGTTGAATACAACAAACGAAACAAATACAAATCTCAGTACGTCTTGGGCAGAAAAATAATCCATAAATAGATGTGCCAATATGAATGCCCTGGTTGCCATATTGAAAATCGGATTCGAACTGCTTGAACAGAGTCGGTTCCATCATTGGTGGGAGCAAGCGTGTGAAGCACGTTGTGATTGGTCCAGTGGTGGCCCAGAAGTGCTGTACAGTAATATATGTAAGGAAATGCATGTGGGCGGAATCAGGACATGGATAAACTGCAAAGGTCAAATAAAGATAAAAAATGGAAATACTAAAAGTATATTTTGAGCACACTACAACTACACATTTAACAAATTACGTGACATTTTAGGCAAAAATGTGTTTGCCAAGGTGACCATTTTGAAAATAGGATCATTGGTTCAGTGGTTTCTGAGATGTTTACGACGCAGAACGAATGATGGACAAACAGGCAATTTTAAGTGATACCTGACAGTATTGTCGTGCGTACAAAAGGCATCATGGGGCTGTGTGGAGGTCCCATACATTCCGAATGGGCAATTCATACGTTACATGTTACATGGGCGTCGTGGTGTGGTGTTGCAACGTCTTATATATTCCTCATATATGGTGGATGCGTTTTTTTACAATTTAAAAAAACAATGTTATGGTTCCAAACATATATGTTATATAGCATCATCACGTGTGGTACAGCAGATATTTTATGTTCGTAGATGATGAGTGCAGGTGATGCTAAAAAGATAATAGAAAATTCGTTTCGTAATAATAGATTTATTTTTAGATTGGCCATTTGGTAAATCTTTCCATTTTCAATTTAAAGAGTTAAACCCTCATTTTAAACATCACGGTTAAGCCTTTATTCCATTGTATGAATGCATATTATTACACAAATATCACTTATCTTGGCCTTTTTTCTGAAAAGACACTTAATCATTACAGGGATTTGAATCAATGTTTCGGGGGGTTTTAAGCACATATATAAAGATTTACTAGATCGTGTGGTTTCCGGGAAGGTTCTTAAATATTTCATCACAACTTGATTTTAATTTGAGTTTCATAAAAACGAAAATATTTTGATTTTCTCGCAACAAATCTGAGCAACATTGCGGGGCTAGCCATGTTGAAGTTCATCCTTTCGGCGAGCTACAAACAGAAGGAAAGCGTTGCCTTTCAAAGGCATGTGAAAGGCTTACTTCTCTTCTTTGAACTTATCACCTTGAAGGTGTTTTCCACATATCTGAAACAGTTTTAAGATTCGGTGGGAAGAAAAACATATTATTTTATTACTATAATTTATATCGTATACAAGAGTGAAACATTTGGTTTGGAGGATCTGTAAACTAAATAACTAAATAAACTTACTATGGAATGTTCATAAACACATTCTGTCTAAAAAAATTATTAAAGTGATCAGTGAAATATGATAGAGACGCTTCTTTTGATAACTGTGTTGCATCTCTTTTCTATCTGTGCGCACTTCTATCATATAAACCTATAACCGAAAGACATCTGATCAGGCGACATTTCAACATGTGCTGATGTGATTAGCTCAACAGAGAGATGAAGCTGCGAAGACAAAGCTGCTGAGCTGCAGTTCAACACAGTAGCAGCCCAATCACCACCAACTCCGTAACAACACATCCCTCCAGAAATATGTCCACACCACGACATAAGACGCCAGGTGAAGAGTATTACACAGCTCGGCTTTTCAAGTAGCAAGCTGCTTCCAGTTTTGGACATTTACCTAATTGAACACGACTCCTGTAAACAGAGACTGCTTAAAACTGATCTTAACAGTCTGTAAGTCGCATTAGAGCGTTCAGGTTTAATATGGGAGAAAGGGGCAAAGAGAGGTGAATTCCCCATCCAGTGGTCGGATACTGACGCTCCATGGACCATAACAAGGTACATATGTGATTCCGACCTACGTCCAGCTCACCCAGGCAGTAGAAGGCACCTCTCCGCGAAACAAATAATGATTAATGAGGCCTTGAACCACTTGTCCATCCGTTTTGTCGAGTATATCAGAATATCAAAGACACAAGGCCTCTGGTGACTGATACACACGTACGATTTGGAGGGAGACCTCCTATTTATCAGATACCCCAGTGTCAGAAAGTTTAAAATCACATGTCGTGGTTGAGTACCCATTTTACCAATAGCTGTTACCCATAAGAAAAACTGGCTCGTCCCGCTCATATCCCAGTTGTCAGATACTGTACTATACAAATAAGACGAAAGAGATAAATTCAAACCGCATTTTATCATTTTATTTACTTCATATTTGTCAGCACAAAAATATAGCACGTGTGTATAAATAAACCAAAGCAGTCATCAACAGTTATCAAAACACAAGAATATTACTTATAAGACAAAGTTAGCGTGTCATCATCCACCCTGTTAGTAACAACGTAATCGTTGAACCTCACAGAGACGGCACATCTGGACAAGTATACATGGCCTCTATGTAAATATCATGGACTTGATGAACATGAAGAAGAGGTACGGCAGAGGCACGATGGATCCATTTCTCGACCTCTGTATCCTCCCGATAATTGTCGACCAGTCTAAGGAAGGGCCTTGGACCCTTCGCCATATAGCTTGTGCATAAAACAACCCTTCACTTATGCATCGGGGAACTCGATCTGGATAGCCCTTATAGCTGCCAACTTAAAATCTGTCTGGATCTTTTCTGGAGACAAAGCTTTGTTTAGGAGACTTTGTTCAGAACATGGAACTTGAGAAGACGGCTGAATGAAGCAATAGTGCAACAAGGAATCAGGGCATATACTAAAGGATAGGGTGAGGATCCAACAAACATTTGGTTCCACAAGTCAGGAATGGCGGTAATTGTCCCATCCATGTAGACGACAGACCCTGACTTGAGAGCATACAATTGTGCACCAGTCGAAAAGTAGTGTCTGATATCTGGGTGGTTATGGTCGCTGTAATTTCTTACAAAGTCACCAACAGTAGTGCTCTTTACAGTGCCTGTCTTCACAACACACCTCCAGTGAACACAGGTCTTCACAACACGCCTCCAGTGATCACAGGTCTTCATGGTCTTGTTTGTGTTGAAGAGGTGACGCTGAAACAGCACCTAAGGCGTACCTTTCTGCAACCCTGTCATTATTGTGACAATTTTTACAATTCTGAAAATATATATATACTTAAGTAAAAACAGAAAAATTGAGTTGAGATCTTAGTGTCAAGATATTTACATCATCAAAGAGTTCATTAATTAAGTCTCAAAGGTATTCTCTTTGCCATGTGGTGAGTTCATTTTATCTGAGTAGATGAAGGTCCTTAGTTATTTGATCTTTCCAACTGGGGGATTAAGACTGGTCCATTATCACAATAGGTATGCCTCACATATTTTTATAAGCCACCCCTATTAAACTGTCTGACTAATGGGGTACCACCATTTGGAGAAGATATGAAAATGACAAGACTACTTCCAAACATGGTCCGTGTACCTTGTAAACGACCAGATTATGATATTACAGCAAGTGTGCAATAGTTTCTGGCATTTGATCGTCATAATGCAGCTTACATGCCAACAAATACCAGACAAACAGTTCACACTACGAAGCAGGTGTCTCCCTTATGTTAGAGAAAACGGCAGTCAGGAAGGACAGCGAAAGAAATATATGATCACATGATCAAAGTGATGAGGAAACATGTCCCTCATTGCACGACTGTAATTTGATGGAGGGTTTAAACATGGCAGAGTCACCTTTTACGACATGGGTAGCATGGGTAGCTGAAGACCTATTCCAAACGTGATTATTAATTAACAAATACAGACAAATTGTTTTCAAAAGTTTATTTCATACTTTAGATAGTCATGTAAACAATTTCATTGAAATAACATTTTGTATAGACATGTGTTTTTATTTATTTCTGTAAGGGAAAACCTTTCCAACCATACAGCAACCCCTTCACTAATGTCATGTCGTGTGGTGGAAGCAAGGTCAAACTAGTTGAGATCAGCTCAAGGGAGAAATACCCTTCACGCTTGCAGAATATCATGACAAAACCTCACAGAAATGATGTGAAGAAGTGTGTTGTCATTGAGAAAACTCATTGAAGATCTGAGACCTCGCAATAATCCTACATGTTAAAGAATGACTTCCATCATTTGGACAAGGCTCCAGTCACCATCACCATCACCAAATAAAACTTCAACAGCTTAAAAATGGAATTCCCCATACACAACAAAAAGAAAATACCATTAGAAAACTGACCCTGACCATGCCCACCCATAGAAACAACAACAGAGACATAACATATACAACAGCAAATAGACAACTTAATTAGACACATAGACATAATTCCAGTATGCTTCAGCTTTTTAACTCAACTAACTTGGTGATTTATTCACCAATCATCACACATCTGGAATCATTCAGAACTGTGTCTGGGAATTTATTAATTTAGTGAGTGAGTGAGTTGGGTTTGATGCTGATTTTAACAGTATTCCAGTTATATCACAGCATGTCACCTTGATGTGGGAAGAAAGCCTAAAGTGATGCAGGTCTCAGATGTTACCACCTTGGTGAAACCCACGAGCACGGGTATGGTGCTGACAAACCTAGAAACATAATCAGGGCAAACCAGGATTCAAACCCACAATCATAGGATTCTGGCGGGCCCAAGGGAAGCAACTCTTCACAGCAAACTGCTTTGACAACTGTGCCACTATTAAAGTTTGAAAATCTAAATTTTGTATATCATATCCTAGAACACAGCTTTATGTTAAAAGCATAATAATTGGCACATCTGTTACACACCACAAACTATTTACAAATAAGCATAAAATGTATTTACTGAAAATAACATGTCAGATATACCATGATATCCACATGTCATGCTATGTGAAGAGGTCTCTGGACAAACATTACCAAACACAAGCTGTGTGATAACCGATTGATTGGCCTGCATAGCATATAACGGAAGAGTAGTCAGTTATTAAAAAGGCCAGTGTATAACCTCTGGGGATTCCAGGCCAGTGTATAACCTCTGGGGATTCCAGGCCAGTGTATAACCTCTGGGGATTCCAGGCCAGTGTATAACCTCTGGGGATTCCAGGCCAGTGTTTAACCTCTGGGGATTCCAGGCCATTGTATAACCTCTGGGGATTCCAGGCCAGTGTATAACCTCTGGGGATTCCAGGCCAGTGTATAACCTCTGGGGATTCCAGGCCAGTGTATAACCTCTGGGGATTCAGGGCCAGTGTATAACCTCTGGGGAATCCGGGCCAGTGTTTAGCCTCTGCGGATTCAGGGCCAGTGTATAACCTCTGGGGATTCGGGGCCAGTGTATAACCTCTGGGGATTCCAGGCCAGTGTATAACCTCTGGGGATTCAGGGCCAGTGTATAACCTCTGGGGATTCAGGGCCAGGGTATAACCTCTGGGGATTCCAGGCCAGTGTATAACCTCTGGGGATTCAGGGCCAGTGTATAACCTCTGGGGAATCCGGGCCAGTGTTTAGCTTCTGGGGATTCCAGGCCAGTGTATAACCTCTGGGGATTCAGGGCCAGTGTATAACCTCTGGGGAATCCGGGCCAGTGTTTAGCCTCTGCGGATTCAGGGCCAGTGTATAACCTCTGGGGATTCGGGGCCAGTGTATAACCTCTGGGGATTCCAGGCCAGTGTTTAGCCTCTGGGGATTCAGGGCCAGTGTATAACCTCTGGGGATTCGGGGCCAGTGTATAACCTCTGGGGAATCCGGGCCAGTGTTTAGCCTCTGGGGATTCCGGGCCAGTGTTTAACCTCTAGGGATTCCCGGCCATTGTTTAAACTCTGGGGATTCCGGGGCAGTATATAACCTCTGGGGATTCCAGGCCAGGGTATACCCTGTGGGGATTCCAGGCCAGTGTTTAACCTCTGGATTGTCTGTTCCACACTCAATTATTTACAAGCTGCTATCATAATTAACAATGAGAATCAGATTCACGATTATTTGATAAAAGAAAATCCATGGAAATAAAAGATGCCTCAAAGTATTAAAATTCTTTTGGCAAATCTATAAACATTCATCTTTGGATGTGAAAGACTGCAATGTCATCCTACTTTACTTGACTGAGGCTGGAATCTAGTGAAGCCAACAAACAATGACCGCATGCATTTCAATCATATCCTGGTGTGTCAGCCTCATGGTCAAGCTTGTTGTCAGAGGCAACTAGCGGGATCGAGTTGTCATGCTCACAGACTTCGTTGATGCATGTTCCAATTGTTTAGATCGATGCTCATGATGTCAATCACTGGAATGTATGGTCCAGGTTCAATTATTTACAGACCGCTGTCATACAGCTGACAAACAAACCTATGATGAACAAAATCATGAAACAATGTAGGTTGTAGACATTATCTCTTTAGTGAAACCCAAAAGTATGGGTATGGTGCTGACAAACCAAGAACATAATTAGAGCAAACCAGAACTAGAACCCAAGAACATAGTATTCTAGTATGCCTTAGGGACACAACTCTGCAAAGCAAATTACATCACCTTCGATGATCACCCTTGGCCTTGTCTGCCACAGAGAAATAACTATTGTCAAACTAATATGCCTCAAAAGGCAGCACGTCAGCACTTTGTAAAACATTTCATGAAGACACAATGAGCATGAGCTCCACGAAGAACACTTAGCATGAGAAGGGCTCCACTACAGCACAACATGGTCACTGGGAAATTGTACTTTAGCATTGTGGGCTTAAGTCATTCAGAAATGTCCAGCGTGATGAAACACATCAAGAAAATTGTAATGGAGACAAACATCTCTAAAAATCACTACAACTGGAAACTCTACATAAACCCAAGTTGAGTGTGGATGAAGATGCCAAAATCTTCTGAGCAAGGTTTGTGTTTCTTTCTGAACAGTTTCACAAACTAGATATATACATTGTTAATTTTAACTAGGAAAGTGTCTGCACAGACAGCTGCAGCCCCTATATCTTGCCTCCAGCTAACATAAAGATCAACCTAAACATTGGTTTAATGACTCCTATTACTCTCACTTTGTCAGTACAAAAATCATATACAATGTTGCTTTAGTTGTAATTACATCCAGTATAGTGGCATCCTTTATGCTTGTGAAAACACAAGCAGTAAAATACTGCGCCAGGCAATATGTTAGGCCTCCAGACACCTTAATAAGACATTTGTATGCATTTCCAGTTTAATAACCTTGACCTTCAATTTCTGCCAATCCAGTGATTCATTATTTCTAGTTTAAAACATGAATCATGTTGTACCAACACAAAGGATTGGTTGAATACACAAAAAAGCAGAACTAACAGATGAATGACCATTCCAGTGACGTTGACTTTCACTGAAGCTCACTAAACACCAGATCACTCTCAAGGATATGTACGAAATTACATTTGCCAACAGTAAACACTTCTTAAGTTATAATGAACACAATACATTATTGAGTGTGTGACCTTCAGAGTGAATGTCTTAGATCGACAGACAGACAGACAAAATAATCACAGCGCTGTCAAAACAAATTAGGTGTCATGGCAAGCAGCACAGAGTCAATGTGTCTCAGATGCCCACAATGTAGGTCAGGGAATGGCCGGTTGGCCACTGAAGCATGGCCTTGTGGACGAGGTGCAGGATACTACAGTCTGACCAGACATAATAGGTGGCTGTCTGACAGCCATTCACCTAAGCAAACCCATGTCTTGTCAAAGTATATTAATAACCATCTCCAACATGAGATCTGTGTACAGGATAACCCTGTCCAGACCACAGTGTATTAGGTAGATGAGCACGTTGCAGGAAACTTTTCAGGACTACAGCCACTCAGAGAGTCTGTAACAGAGATGCTGGTGACCAACACTGTGAACAATGTCTACAGCTTAGGTCTTTTAGGTCTGTTAACAATAAACAGTCATACTTAAAACCTTCCTAACTCTGACAGTTGATTCAAAGCACAAAGTAAAACAGTTCACAAGTGGTGTGATGTCCCAATTCCTACTGGTGACAGATGAAGATGTAAATCCACACGACCTGACACACTGCATACACACAATGAAAACACAATAGAAAATACAATTGTTCATCCCACAACATGCATCCTCAGCAACTCCAGTAAGGTTTGATTCACATGGTTGCTTTCTATCTGTCTGGACTGACCCTCCACACCTCAGAGGTGGTAATGTATAAGATGATGGGTATTGCCAGCCAATTCTCCACTTTGGTAGGCTTGACAGCAGTGGGTCCGACTTGTCTAGGTGACGAGGTGATCACACTTGGTATCAACTCATCACTAGGACATGTCTAATCAGCATCCGGGGATAACAATCACTAGCAGCTCTCTGTTGGTCTTTTGAGGATAGCCTGTAAGGTAACAAAAAATATATAACATTTACACATAGCTTAAACACTCAACTGAAGTCAATCACTCCTACACACAGTGACACGAGTTCACTTGGTACCTTTAGTCAATGTGGGGCCTAGTCCTAGTAGATAACTATAAACTCCAGATGTTACCTAATGATTTCAAATGGAAAAGCACCATGTACGGTTTGATTTGCACCATAAACTGACCATTGATGGCGAAACAATGGCGGATATAACTAAGAAGGTGTTTGTATTACATGCAAACACAGAAGACCATCCCCACCTTTCCTGAAGCCCCAAAACTTTCCCATCAGTTGCATGTATCATGATTTATTTTGACTTTACGTCAGGTGATACTTGGCTTCACACAAGCCCAATGCAGTACACCTTGGTAACAGAAAAGCCTATGCCTCTAGCTACCTCAATAACAAGGTGAGGTGGTGAAATGGGGTGTAATGTCGCGTCCAAGATTATTGCACTTATATAGCAACGTGCATGTACGTGTGTGTGTTTGTGTGGCTGCTTGTACTAGTCCGGACTGATGCCGATTTATAGTGCTAGCTCACTGAGATACCATGCCACAGTTTAACATGAATACCCCACTCAGACACAGTATACCGACTCCGAGCCGACCAGTCCTTGTTTTAGCCCCTTAATGCCAGGCGCCAGACAGGGTAACAACATGTAGCATCTTTTAACGTCTTTTGGTATGACGCGGCCTTGGATCAAACCCCGCCACCTTCCGCTCTCCGGGCGGACGCTCTACCACTAGACCACGGAGGCGGTCACCTCAATTACAAAGTTCATAAGCACTTTCTGTTTCATGACCTTGACCTTCAGTCTCAACCATGAAGTGCCCAAAGATCATGTATATAAACATTTGCCAAACTCCAATAATACATGTTGAAGAGATTGCAAATAAATTTTCTTGGAATGTCTACTTCACACTGAGTTACCTTGACCTTCAACATCACCCAATGACTTGGGAGAATATTACATCTTGCAAATCAGGTGGTGTTACAAATATGGCCTCCATACTATACTAACTATACTTCCTGAATGAAACTATTTAGAAGTCATTCCATTAATAAATGACCTCAAACCTTAACATTAGACACAATCATGACATATGAAAGTTACCTTCACATTTGACACAACTATTTATTGAGAGTCTTAGGTGATTAGAAAATAATCAGATATTTCATGAATTATTCCAAAATATTTTGAAATTGAAGCAAGTTTCATAATTTGACCTCTAGTGACCTTGACCTTAGCTAGCGGTTGAGAAAAACAATAGTGGTGGTGGCAGTGGAAGCAGTGGAACTCAAACTCCAGCAAACAAATGAAGTAGCCCCCTTTACAGGGAAATGGCAGGATCTGCTTGTTCAGGGAAGTGAATCAATCATCTATGGTTGTTTTCTTTGTGTGAATTATTTCCACAAACCTTCCACTTCAGAGGGTCTCTGTTGTCCCCCATCATGCAGATTGTGACTGATGTAAAGATCTTCAGCGTCTGTTTGGCAGCCTGTGGATGGAGGTCATCTGCTGCCCAGACTAGAGTGAGAATAGGTTGTTTGTGGTCCCGAATGTAAGTCTTGCTCTGCAGAGGCAGTTGCTGCAAACAGGAAGACAATTATTTTTATGGACGAACTGAAACCATAAACATGAACCCTTTCTTACTCAAAAGCTTCATAAAAATCTGTACAAAGAGAGAATTAATGCTGGGGCAAGCAAATGTACCACCAAATCCCCGTCTCAAAGTTTAACTATACTGGTCACCGACCAGTTATCGCCATTTCTTTTCATGTTATTTCTGAACTTTTCCATGTTTAAAGTTACCTATGGCAATAACTTTAAATTTTGTGAAACTACAAGCAAATGCACATTTTTCTGTCTGTGGAAAATGTTTCAGGAGATTTCTGTTACAACGCGATGACAGGGAATCAAAACAGTGGAAATAGAACTTTCCCATCCCCCAACTGTACCAGAGATCGCCATTGTCTAAACAGCCCGTGCCACATGAACACACACCACTTTGTTATACAAATTAAATTTTCTATTTTCTCTGGTATCGTACTCTATGTTTATATTCATCACAATTAATAAGAAATGCTTTTACCAATTTGTCATCTGCAAACTGACTTACACTAATATTCCCTAAACTTGATTTCCACATGCTTATCCTCAACACTATGTACTATGGATTTCACAATATATACAGGGTTATGCATTTTTTTTAAATATCTCAAATCGGTTTTAGAATTGAAATTTGGGGAAGAAATGACAGACTGTAGTAAGCTTTAACAGAACTAAATGTGCATCCTCATGTTGTTGGATTTTAGTTTACACGTGAATGAGTCACATGACACCTCCCACGTGTCTCTTCTAAAGTTGTATTTGAGCAAGGTGATTATATGGTTGGTTTTTTAATATTTCTTCACAAGAGTTAGTTTTGTTCACCATTTTGGGACAAATATTTCTCTCTTCTAATGAAACCAAGCAAAAGTAGAACGAGATGTGGTCACGTGTGCACAATAACGGGGAGTTGGCAATAATTGGTCCTCGGTGATAACTGGTCGCTGCCAGTAATCCTTAATACGATCAAGGAAGGACTTTCTTTATATTACCAAAAAGTATTTGAAACAAGTGGAATTAAAGCTAAGTGGATTCTCAAAAACGGAAGGGATTTGCTTCAAATTTTGCACTCTCAGAAAAGAACAAAGTTCAATTCTGTTGAAACTACTTTATACACCACCATCCCACATGGCAAACTTAAGGAAAAACTTAATTCCTTGATCAAGGGCCATCTGTGGTGATCACATATATAGTTACATCTCTCTCTTCAGAGGTTCATTACAATTTGTCAAAAATGAAAGCAAATGCCATCTGAAGTTTACTGAGAAAACAATATGTGAAATGCTGGACTTCCTCATAGATAAGAGGGGGCACAGGTGGCACAGTTTTCTAAAGTGCCGCAATTCGCTGTGCAGAGTTGCATCCCTTGAGCACACCAGGAACCTATGATTGTGGGTTCTAATCCCGGTTCACCCCGATTATGTTTCTGGGTTTGTCAGCACCATACTCGTGCTCATGGGTTTCACCGAAGTGGTAAACGTCTCACACCTGCATCACTTCAGGCTTTCCTCCCACATTAAGATGAAATGCCATGATATAACTAGAATACTGTTAAAAGCGGCATTAAACCCAACTCACTCACACATAGATAAGAAGAAAGCATCCCCATCCCCTTTTTGCCTTTGGTGTATACATGGTTGTGATGTAGTCGGAATCATACATTCAATTCAAGATTTCTTGTAAATATGGAACAGGTTTGGCTGTTTATATTTCTGTTACCAAACCACTGATATAGAGGTGATGTATGTGTTCCAACAGCATGAAATAGCTCCTCTACTTACATCACAGTAGACACGCTTGGAGACTCCGAACTTGAGTATGAAAACGTCAAAGGAATGATCCATCACCCCCATTACCATCGCCTTCTCTTCAAATGGGCCAACCTCCTGAAGACAAACAGACTGTCAGGTACATCAGAACCACTACAACATTTGTAATAAACAAAACTTACCAGTATGATCCTCTTCCCCACTGGCCCCCTCATACCTCATCACCACCTTGCCCCCTCATACCTCATCACCACCTTCCCACCTCTTACCTCATCACCACCTTGCCCCTCTTCCACACTGGCCCCCTCATACCTCATCACCACCTTCCGACCTCTTACTTCATCACCACCTTGCCCCTCTTCCCCACTGGCCCCATCATACCTCATCACCACCTTCCGACCTCTTAACTCATCACCACTTTGCCCCTCTTCCACACTGGCCCCCTCATACCTCATCACCACCTTGCCCCCTCATACCTCATCACCACCTTCCCACCTCTTACCTCATCACCACCTTGCCCCCTCTTCCACACTGGCCCCCTCATACCTCATCACCACCTTGCCCCCTCATACCTCATCACCACCTTCCGACCTCTTACCTCATCACCACCTTCCCACCTCTTACCTCATCACCACCTTGCCCCCGCATACCTCACAACCACCTTCCCACCCCTAACCTCATCACCACCTTGCCCCCTCATATCTCATCACCACCTTGCCCCCTCATACCTAATCACCACCTTGCCCCCTCATACCTCATCACCACCTTCCCACCTCTTACCTCATCACCACCTTCCCACCTCTTACCTCATCACCACCTTGCCCCCGCATACCTCACAACCACCTTCCCACCCCTAACCTCATCACCACCTTGCCCCCTCATACCTCATCACCACCTTCCCACCCCTAACCTCATCACCACCTTGCCCCCTCATATCTCATCACCACCTTGCCCCCTCATACCTAATCACCACCTTGCCCCCTCATACCTCATCACCCCCTTGCCCCCTCATACCTCATCACCACATTGCCCCTCATACATCATCACCATCTTCTCACCTCTTACCTCATCACCACCTTACCACCTCTTCCCCACTGGCCCCCTCATACCTCATCACCACCTTCCCACCTCTTAACTCATCACCACTTTGCCCCTCTTCCCCACTGGCCCCCTCATACCTCATCACCACCTTGCCCCCTCATACCTCATCACCACCTTGCCCCCTCATACCTCATCACCACCTTGCCCCCTCTTCCCCACTGGCCCCCTCATACCTCCTCACCACCTTCCCACCTCTTAACTCATCACCACCTTGCCCCCTCTTCCCCACTGGCCCCCTCATACCTCATCACCACCTTCCCACCTCTTAACTCATCACCACTTTGCCCCTCTTCCCCACTGGCCCCCTCTTACCTCATCACCACCTTCCCACCTCTTACCTCATCACCACCTTCCCACCTCTTACCTCATCACCACTTTGCCCCTCTTCCCCACTGGCCCCCTCATACCTCATCACCACCTTCCCACCTCTTACCTCATCACCACCTTGCCCCCTCATACCTCATCACCACCTTGCCCCCGCATACCTCACAACCACTATGCCCTCTCTTACCTCACAATCACCTTGCCCCATCATACCTCACAACCACCTTGCCCCCTCTTACCTCACAATCACCCTTGCCCCTGCATACCTCACGACCACTATGCCCACTCTTACCTCACAACCACCTTTCCCCTCATTCTTCACAACCACCTTTCCCCTCATTCCTCACAACCACTTTGCCCCCTCATAACTCACACCAAACTTGCCCATTCATATCTAATTACCACTTTGCAACCTCTTACCTCACAACCACCCTGGCTCCACTTACTTCACAACCACCTTGACCCCTCATTCCTCACAACCAACTTGCCCACTCATACCTCATCACCATCTTGCCACCTCATGACCACCTTGCCACCTCATAACCACCTTGCCTCCCCATGGCCACCTTGCCATCCCATGACCACCTTGCCACATCATAACCACCTTGCCACCCCATGACCACCTTGCCACATCATAACCACCTTGCCACCCCATGACCACCTTATAACCACCTTGCCACCCCATGACCACAACATGACCACCTTGCCACCCCATGACCACCTTGCCACATCATAACCACCTTGCCACCCCATGACCACCTTGCCACCCCATGACCACCTCATGACCACCTTGCCACCCCATGACCACCTTGCCACCCCATGACCACCTTGCCACATCATAACCACCTTGCCACCCCATGACCACCTTGCCACCCCATGACCACCTTGCCACCTCATAACCACCTTGCCACCTCATGACCACTTTGCCACCCCATGACCACCTTGCCACCTCATAACCACCTTGCCACCTCATGACCACTTTGCCACCCCATGACCACCTTGCCACATCATGACCACCTTGCCACCCCATGACCACCTTATGACTACCTTGCCATCCCATGACCACCTTGCCACATCATAACCACCTTGCCACCCCATGACCACCTTATGACCACCTTGCCACCCCATGACCACCTTATGACTACCTTGCCACCCCATGACCACCTTGCCACATCATAACCACCTTGCCACCCCATGACCACCTTATGACCACCTTGCCACCCCATGACCACCTTATGACCACCTTGCCACCCCATGACCACCTTGCCACATCATAACCACCTTGCCACATCATAACCACCTTGCCACCCCATGACCACCTTGCCACATCATAACCACCTTGCCACATCATGACCACCTTGCCACCCCATAACCACCTTGCCAAATCATAACCACCTTGCCACCTCATGACCACCTTGCCACCTCATGACCACCTTGCCACCTCATGACCACCTTGCCACCTCATGACCACCTTGCCACCCCATGACCACCTTGCCACCCCATTACCACCCCATGACCACCTTGCCACCCCATGACCACCTTGCCACCCCATTGCCACCCCATTACCACCTTGCCACCCCATGACCACCTTGCCACATCATAACCACCCAGCCACCTTGTCAAGTTTTGTGAAGGATGTACAAATGGGATCTCTTTGTCCATTACATTTCATTTCCGGAGCATAACTCATAAGCAATTCAATATTTATTCATGAAACTTTGTACACACATCAGGCTTGCTTTAAACAGGTGCATTTTTTCCCTTTTTGAATTTTCCAAAGCAACAATTTGGAGTTCAAATAGGGATAGGGATCATTTCAGGAGCATAAGTCATAAACTGTATCTTATTTCTTCGTGGAACTTTGTATACATTTTGAAGTGTCCAACATTCCCCACACATCACCCACCTTGACAAAAGCAGCGAAGAACATCTCGGAGCTCATCTCCTGCACCCTCTTGGCCATGTACTTCTTGTCGTTACAGTGGTCAGCCTGTTTGTGCAGCAGGCGGTGGTCCTTGCTGGTCTCCCTGCAGTAGGCTGCAAGCATCAGCACTGTGTCAGGCTACAGATCTCTCACCACAGAAGTCACCACAACAAGGCCATTATTAATGTACAACAAAGAATGAAATGTGTTTATAGGCAGCATAAGAAATTTCTAAATCAATTCAAAATGCAGATGAGCGGGAGAAAGTTCCTTCTGCTGATCTAGTTCATGATGCAGCACCAGTGAGTGAGAGTGCATGAGTGCATAGTGGGGCCATGTTCTACTTCATGATGCAGCACCAGTGAGTGAGAGTGCATGAGTGCATAGTGGGGCCATGTTCTAGTTCATGATGCAGCATGTTCTAGTTCATGATGCAGCACCAGTGAGTGAGAGTGCATGAGTGCATAATGGGGCCAGGAAATGGGTAGAAGATAGAAGGAAGGTAACACCCAGCTTCCCAAATTAACACTAACCACAATTGAGAAGTTGGAGCATTTAATCCCCAAGGAATAGTATCAACATGTTTGTCTGGTGGATTCAATACCTCGCAATCCAGCTTGTGCAACAACAGGCAACGGATGATGTCACTGCGTTGTGTTCTCAACAATGGATGATGTCATTGTGTTGTGTTCTCAACAATGGATGATGTCATTGTGTTGTGTTCTCAACAATGGATGAATTCATTATGTTGTGTTCTCAACTATGGATGATGTCACTGTGTTGTGTTCTCAACAATGGATGTCACTGTGTTGTGTTCTCAACAATGGATGATGTCATTTTGTTGTGTTTTCAACAATGGATGATGTCATTTTGTTGTGTTCTCAACAAAGGATGATGTCATTTTGTTGTGTTCTCAACAATGGATGATGTGATTGCATTGTGTTCTCAACAATGGATGTCACTGTGTTGTGTTCTCAACAACAGATGATGTCACTGCGATGTGTTCTCAAAAATGGATGATGTCATTGTGTTGTGTTCTCAACAACGGATGATGTCACTGTGTTGTGTTCTCAAAAATGGATGATGTCACTGTGTTGATGTTCTCAACAACGGATGATGTCATTGCGTTGTGTTCTCAAAAATGGATGATGTCATTGTGTTGTGTTCTCAACAATGGATGATGTCATTGTGTTGTGTTCTCAACAATGGATGAATTCATTATGTTGTTTTCTCAACTATGGATGATGTCACTGTGTTGTGTTCTCAACAATGGATGTCACTGTGTTGTGTTCTCAACAATGGATGATGTCACTGTGTTGTGTTCTCAACAATGGATGATGTCACTGTGTTGTGTTCTCAACAATGGATGTCACTGTGTTGTGTTCTCGACAATGGATGATGTCACTGTGTCGTTTTCTCAACAATGGATGTCACTGTGTTGTGTTCTCAACAATGGATGATGTCACTGCGTTGTGTTCTCAACAATGGATGATGTCATTGTGTTGTGTTCTCAACAATGGATGATGTCATTGTGTTGTGTTCTCAACAATGGATGAATTCATTATGTTGTGTTCTCAACTATGGATGATGTCACTGTGTTGTGTTCTCAACAATGGATGTCACTGTGTTGTGTTCTCAACAATGGATGATGTCACTGTGTTGTGTTCTCAACAATGGATGATGTCATTTTGTTGTGTTCTCAACAAAGGATGATGTCAGTTTGTTGTGTTCTCAACAATGGATGATGTGATTGCATTGTGTTCTCAACAATGGATGTCACTGTGTTGTGTTCTCAACAACAGATGATGTCACTGCGATGTGTTCTCAAAAATGGATGATGTCATTGTGTTGTGTTCTCAACAACGGATGATGTCACTGTGTTGTGTTCTCAAAAATGGATGATGTCACTGTGTTGATGTTCTCAACAACGGATGATGTCATTGCGTTGTGTTCTCAAAATTGGATGATGTCATTGTGTTGTGTTCTCAACAATGGATGATGTCATTGTGTTGTGTTCTCAACAATGGATGAATTCATTATGTTGTGTTCTCAACTATGGATGATGTCACTGTGTTGTGTTCTCAACAATGGATGTCATTGTGTTGTGTTTTCAACAATGGATGTCACTGTGTTATGTTCTCAACAATGGATGATGTCACTGTGTTGTGTTCTCAACAATGGATGATGTCACTGTGTTGTGTTCTCAACAATGGATGTCACTGTGTTGTGTTCTCAACAATGGAAGATGTCACTGTGTTGTGTTCTCAACAATGGATGTCAAGATGTTGTGTTCTCAACGATGGATGATGTCACTGTGTTGTGAACATGAACGATATATCAACACCTGACTAACAACAACATATTGTGTTCATGGACTTTGACTCTTTCTAATAATACAAACAATGGATGATGTGACTGTGTTGTGTTCTCAACAATGGATGATGTCACTGTGTCGTTTTCTCAACAATGGATGTCACTGCGATGTGTTCTCAACAATGGATGATGTCATTGCGTTGTGTTCTCAACAATGGATGATGTCATTGTGTTGTGTTCTCAACAATGGATGATGTCATTGTGTTGTGTTCTCAACAATGGATGAATTCATTATGTTGTGTTCTCAACTATGGATGATGTCACTGTGTTGTGTTCTCAACAATGGATGTCACTGTGTTGTGTTCTCAACAATGGATGATGTCACTGTGTTGTGTTCTCAACAATGGATGATGTCATTTTGTTGTGTTCTCAACAAAGGATGATGTCATTTTGTTGTGTTCTCAACAATGGATGATGTGATTGCATTGTGTTCTCAACAATGGATGTCACTGTGTTGTGTTCTCAACAACAGATGATGTCACTGCGATGTGTTCTCAAAAATGGATGATGTCATTGTGTTGTGTTCTCAACAACGGATGATGTCACTGTGTTGTGTTCTCAAAAATGGATGATGTCACTGTGTTGATGTTCTCAACAACGGATGATGTCATTGCGTTGTGTTCTCAAAAATGGATGATGTCATTGTGTTGTGTTCTCAACAATGGATGATGTCATTGTGTTGTGTTCTCAACAATGGATGAATTCATTATGTTGTGTTCTCAACTATGGATGATGTCACTGTGTTGTGTTCTCAACAATGGATGTCATTGTGTTGTGTTTTCAACAATGGATGTCACTGTGTTATGTTCTCAACAATGGATGATGTCACTGTGTTGTGTTCTCAACAATGGATGATGTCACTGTGTTGTGTTCTCAACAATGGATGTCACTGTGTTGTGTTCTCAACAATGGATGATGTCACCGTGTTGTGTTCTCAACAATGGATGTCAAGATGTTGTGTTCTCAACGATGGATGATGTCACTGTGTTGTGAACATGAACGATATATCAACACCTGACTAACAACAACATATTGTGTTCATGGACTTTGACTCTTTCTAATAATACAAACAATGGATGATGTGACTGTGTTGTGTTCTCAACAATGGATGATGTCACTGTGTTGTGTTCTCAACAATGGATGATGTCACTGTGTTGTGTTCTCAACAATGTAGCTATATGACATGCTACTGTAAGTGAGTTTACCGAGGGAGGTGGCCAGCAGTCGGTGCACCAGGACGTCGGCGTAGCGTCGGATGGGGGAGGTGAAGTGTGTGTACAGTGGGACGTTGAGTGCGTAGTGGTGGTACACTTCAGGGTCAGCGATCATGCCACTACAGAAATACTTGGCATTCTGAAACAGCAAGGTTAGTCAAAGTCAACACTCAGCTGGAAGATGAGGATAAGGTAGAGTAGCATGAACATCTTGCACCCAAGTCCAAGTCAGCAGTCAGCATAAAGCCAGCTGGAATGTATACCTCCATTCCACACATTCAACTACTTCAACAACACAACCAGTGCGCCGTATGTCCAAACAACACTCATTAATGTGGATAATAACTAGACAGCTAAACCCTTCAACTTGGGTACTTTACCTGCATGGGCTTCGAGCTGAGCGCCACAAGCACCTGCATTCTAGCTGCTGAGAACTCATCTGTACCTTGGTAGTTGCTGAGAGAATGCTGCAACACACACATACAGTCTGGTAACCATGGCAACAGGAACAACTGGCACGGAACAATGTTTCAATTATATCAAGGTCATAGTGAGTGAGTTTGATTTTACGCCACTTTTAGCAATATTCCAGCAATATCATGGTGGGGACACCAGAAATGGGCTTCACACACTGTACCCATGTCTGGAATTGAAGCCGGGTCTTCGGCGTGACGAGCGATCGTTTCAACCTCTAGGCTACCCGCCCATTTCAGGTTTCAACATAACACTCAAAGATAAGAGCTCTTGGCTTCCTTGGAGAAACTACTTGCACTGTGGGAATTGCTTGGAGTATCTCATAGAGAGACAGTCTGTTGACAAGTCAGAGTTTGCAGCCAATGTGACAGGAGAGATTTTAAACGTTTGGTTCCTGAATGTTCATGGATGCATAAAGTGCTAAAGAACTAAAGTAAATTCCAGGATCAACACAGCAAAGCAAGCTGTTGACTGGACTGTCAGTCTAGGTGTGAGGTAGTTTGTTTTTCGAGTGCATTCGTTCATTGCGTACATAAGGATGGGTCACACGAAGATTTTCCATCACAGGCATGCCCCGACTACTTCCAGTGACTAAAAGGTCTAAATGATCCTGGTGTGTGCTGTGTGACCTTCACAATAAAACACTATTGGAAGACGTGTGTTTGTGACAGGGTTTCTAGCCTGCAGACACCTACCTGCCACGTCTGACTGTTGGACAAGTCGACCGGTAACCCCAGCTGCTCACACAGGTCTTTCTGAAACACACCAGTCATGGAAGTTGTTACTTAACACCTCACTGTGACACCGTAATATTCCATCTATATGGTGGTGGCCTGGAAATAATCAAGTCAGGGCCAGACAATCCACTAACTGATATTATGCGCATAGATTCCACACAATTGATATGCAATAACATGCAATCACTCAAGTCACCAAGCCTGCATAATCCATTTAATTGCTTAATATGCCACACCGCACATACGGTACAGTCTGACAAAAATACCAAATACATATTCATCAAACAATATTACTAATCTGTGTGTAGGTATGTGGATACCAGCTTCTCCTACTCTTTTTCAGGTCCCATTCTTGTGGAAAACCGAAAGTCACTTCCCAGTGCTACTGCACAGCATGGTTATTTCTTAATAAGGTGGACAGGTGGGTAAGAAGAATATTTTAACAATGTTTCAATTGTTGATGAGTATGGATGATATATGACACATTCTTAATACAATGGCAATTTGAAGAATCTGGCCAGGTATCTTTTTTCAAGAAAATACAAATATTGAATTGAAAATGAGTCACTAAAGTTTCTAGTCGGATGAAAAGGTTTGTCTGCTTGTTTATGCAAATCAGCTGCATCACAGTGTCATGTGAACTGAATGTCGCAGTCAGGTGACAAAAACTATACCAAGAAATAAGGTCCATGATTTCCGTATATAACGTTGAGGCCTGCATACTGCATTTACCATTGCCAATATTTACTTTTAAAACTTTCTTCAAACATAACAAACAAAAAACAATTCTTATAAGCTAATGTTTTACTTGTGACAATAATAAGCAACATAAAATTATGTAAGATATGACATCTGGAAAACATGGTAGAAGGATAACTTGTGGTCAAGGAAAACCACTTTTCCTGTACGAAATATAAAGAACTCAACTAATTCCAGATATCTGTTCACATGCACATCATGTACTCACGTAAGTAAGTTTGCTGATGTCTAACTATACATACATGTGTATATGTACATTTAATATGCATCCACATGAGATTTAACTAATGTGTGTAAATAAAGTATGTAAACGGTGTAATAAGGCACCTATATTCATCAGTCTGTTCATGACCTTCAGCATCAAAAGGTTGTTTTCAAATCAAAGTCGAATGAGAAGAGAGTGACTTAAAAATCTTCACATGAACCAACATGTGTTTGATTTATTCTAGACAGAACTTTATGACTCCTTGAAACCCAATGAAAACACTGTCCGCCCAACTTTGGATGACCCATGAAAGTTAGTGATGATATAAGGGTAACGCTATTTTTCAGGGTTGTGGTAACCCCCGACTATATACAGTCATATCATCAACAAGACAACCCTGTATTAGAGGGATAGTCAAGATGTACATTTACTCTTCTTGAGTGTTTAAATTCATGGCGGAAGCAGCTGGAGCGAGGTTCCCAGAATTCCCTGCTAAGGGAGAAGTTATTACGCTTAAGTGGAAATCACGGGGAGTGGCTTATTGTTTTAAACTGTTACTCTATGACACTCCTCCCCCATAGTTTTGTTGCACTTTAAACATAAACTACCATAATGAATCTACACATGTTGAAAGAACTGACAATTGCTCCAGAAGATGTCATTAAAGTGTCTCTTCACACATCTCATTGGAACATTTTAAATGAAAATTAACCAATATTGTTCCAGATGTTATTTGAGTCTCTCATATCACACAATAACTGGAACACTTTAACTGTATATGCACTTGCATTAATGATTAAAGAAAACTGGATATGCACATGCTTATGTCTGAATAAGGGAACCAATAACAAGATCCAAAACTATCAATCACTGATGGTTCATTTAGGTGACAAAGAGTGTGAAATACATCACATTCTCATTACAGTTCATAACTCAGCAGCAATCTTTAGATTAAGTCTATCCGGCGCCTTCCGGATTCTGGAAGAACAACGAAATTCTTGCGCACCACAAGAATCTGACTGAGTAGATGATAGTGTCTCTGGTAAGACCTGCTGTGGCTCGGGCCTTGTAGAAGTAACTTCATCTTGCAGTTGAGGGGTACCCGGAAGTACTGGAATGTTGCCAAGTTCAGGCAACATAGGTAACTTGTCGGGTAGTTCTGGTAGAACTGATTGTTCATGTGTTGATGGAACTGTTTTATCATGTTGGCTTTCATGCGTCAGAACATGGCGCAAACGCAGGTGATCAATATGGCGCTTGACAACACCACCATTGTCAAGACGAACATGGAACGACACTGGACCGGTTCTCTCTGTTATGATTCCTGACAACCATTTGTCACCAGGACGAAAGTTTAACACATACACAAGACCTCCAACTTGCAAGTGACGGTCCTTTGCATGTGCATCATGTACTGACTTTTGCTGTTCTTGTTTGTTCCTAACTTTACAGCTCATATCTGGATGAAGAAGGTTGAGATGAGACTTCGGTCTTCTTGGAAGAAGTAATTCTGCTGGAGATAACCCCGTTGTAGTCTGCGGGGTAAGTCTGTATCTGAACAAAAAACGTGCAAGTTTTGTGTCCAATGTTCCCCCTGTCATACGTTTAATGCCAGATTTAAAGGTTTGTACAGCTCTTTCTGCTAACCCATTGGAGGCAGGGTGATACGAGCCACACATGTATGAGCGATGCCATTACGTTTCATAAAGACAGAGAATTCCTCACTTGTAAAACAAGTGCCATTGTCAGTGACCACTTGGTCTGGCAGTCCATGAGTTTTAGCAGTGGATGTGGCACTGTTCACTGGAAACACTTCCAACCATTTAGAATGTGCGTCAATACACACAAGGAAAATTTTACCCAGGAAGGGTCCGGCATAGTCTAAATGCAAACGACTCCATGGATGTTTAGGCCATTCCCAAAAGTGAAGCGAAGCCTCGGCTTGTACTGGACGAGACTGTTGACACACACAACAGGTTTTCACCTTGAGTTCCAATTCATCATCCATCTTTGGCCACCATATGAATCCACGCGCTACAGACTTCATGCGCGAGATACCTGGATGAGCTTCATGCAACATGTTCACAACAATCTCTCGACCTTGTGGCGACACAACAATACGATTGCCCCACAAAACACAGCCATCAAGGACACTCAATTCATGTTTCCTTTTCACAAAAGGAGTGAAAGACTCCTCTAGATTTATGCTTGGCCATCCAGAAAGAAGGAAATTTCTCACTCTGGAAAGGGTTGGATCTCTGTCTGTCCATCGTTCAATTTGCCATGATTTCACAGAAGCATCCATTGCTTCCAGTAAGAGGATTGTGTCCCCTGGTAGAGGTGGATTTGGTGGTGTGTATGGTAAGGGAAGACGACTCATGCAGTCGGCATTCGCAAGGGAAGTACCTTTTCTGTACTCAATTGTATAGTTATATGCAGAGAGAGTTATTGCCCAACGTTGAATTCTGCTCGATGCCATCTGTGAAATACCCTTGTCCTGACTGAAGATGCTCTCGAGGGGTTTGTGATCTGACAACAGAGTAAAGGAACGCCCATTGATATACTGATGGAACTTCTTAGTTCCGAAGATAATTGCTAGAGCTTCACGATCCCATTGAGAGTAATTCTTTTCTGCTTGTGACAGAGACCTGGATGCGAATGCTATTGGTTCCTCTACACCACCATCAGACTGATGTGAGAGGACGGCGCCTACCCAATAGGGAGATGCATCACACGCCAATACAAGTTTCTTATGGGGATCATAATGCGTCAAGAGATCACAAGAAGACAAATGTCCTTTCACCATGTTGAAAGCTTTTTCCTGTTGAGCTCCCCATGACCATGTAACCTCTTTCCTGAGAAGCCGATGCAAGGGCGCCAAGGTAGTGGCGAGATTAGGCAAGAAACGCTGATAATACTGCACGAGTCCAAGGAAGGATTTAAGTTCAGCAACATTGCGTGGAGCTGGAGCCGACACTATAGCCTTCACCTTTTCGTCAAGGGGATGCAAACCCTGCGCAACTATTTTGTGACCCAAATACTCTACTGAGCCGACCATGAATTTGCACTTCTGTGCGTTCAATCTGGGACCAGCCTTGCTAAGTCTGGATAGCACTTCCTTCATGTTTTCCAAATGTTCCTGTTCAGAGGCCCCGGTGACGAGAATATCATCCAAGTAGACACAGACATGGGGAATGTCTTTGAGTAAGCACTCCATTGTTCACTGGAATATGGCTGGAGCTGCCGATATGCCATAGGGTAAGCGCTGGTACTGATAGAGGCCACGATGAGTGTTTATAGTCGTGAGCTTTTGCGACTCCTTGTCAAGGGTTTACTGTTGGTAGACTTGACTTAAATCAAGTTTTGTGAAAGTCTTTCCACCTGACAAAGATGCGAACAGATCTTCAATCCGTGGAATGGGGTAAACATTAGTACGAGCAACCTTGTTGACAGTTAATTTGTAGTCTCCGCAAATTCGTATGTTCCCATTGGATTTAACCACTGGTACGATTGGAGCAGCCCAATCAGAATACTGCACTGGCTTGATAATACCCTGTTTTTCAAGGCGTTCAAGTTCATCCTCAACTTTCTGACGCAGAGCGTAAGCAACATTCCTGTGCTTATAAAATCTTGGCACATTTGAGGTGATCTCAATAGTGACCTTTTGATCCTTGAATTCCCCTATATCATCTCGGAACACATCAGAATAAGAGTTCAAAAAGTCTTGTAACCCTTCATTTCTCACATTCAAAATTTTCCCCGAATCTAGTCTGATGGCCTGAAGCCAATCTCTACCAAGCAAGTTCTCGCCATCACCTTCCACCACTGTCAGCGGGAGAGTAGCGGACTGATTTCCATAATTTACTTGAACGTCTGTAGTGCCTACTATCGGTATTCTCTCTCGGTTGTAGGACCGAAGAATAGCATTGGTCTCACTTAACTTGGGCCTGTCATCACCCTCCTTCCACACTGAATGGAAAGTACTTGAACTGATCACGGAAGTTGCTGCGCCAGTGTCTATCTCCATAGTTACCTTTTTTCCATTAACTAACACTTCAATGAGATAGGGCTCCACTCTGTGTCGCTAACCACTCAATCCGTTTCGAGCATGTTGAGTTTCTACCTTAAAAAGTCCATATTCATTGTTCTCTTCTTCCTGAGATACATCGTCAATACGATTAGCATCAGTTGAAGATCTGTTGTCCTTGTAATGGGTACCACGACCATGACCACGACCCCTGTCGCGACCACGACCACGGCTGTGACCACGAACTGAAGATCTATCATTCATGGCGCTGCGTGAGCGACCAGTACGCTGGATATGACCAACCTTATTACAGTTGTTACACACAGCGTTTTTGTAATAGCACTGACTACTGACATGATTTGAGCCCCCACAGTGATCACACTTCCTGTCTGCATTATTTCTCCTGTTATCCTCTCTAATCTTGTGCACTGGCCTTGGCATCTGATCTCCCCCTTTAATATCATGCACTTTCTTAGCAGCCATTTCCATTCCGAAACACAAGGAGTAAGCCTTAGCAAAGTCCAATGTTTTCTCAGTTAACAGTCTTTTTTGCATTGCTTCATTGTTGATACCACACACTAGACGATCCCTTAACTGAGTCTCTAAATCAGTGTATTCACATGTCGATGCCAAACGACGTAACTCAGCCACATATGCCGATACAGTTTCATTAGGCTGTCTATCACGCATATTGTACCTCCTCCTTTCCATCATAATAGTGGGTTTCGGGTGTAAATGTGACTTCATCAGCTGTACTAACGCATCATAAGAATGATCGCCAGGTTTCTGTGGCGAAGACAATTTCCGTATTAACTTGTATGACTTCGCACCAATCACACTCGATAGAATAGCACGCTTCCTACCCTGATCTGTAATTTCGTTTGCTGCGAAATAATGTCCAAGTCTCTCGACGTATTCATTCCAGTCATCAGTCTGAGAATCATATTCATCTATTTTGCCGAAGGTAGCCATGTTGTTTTGAATACCGGGCGAACGCACGTGGTCTGACCAAGATCGTTGTTACTACTCGCCGGCATGACAAACGCACTAAATTGACCTCGTCGCCAATATATGTGGTAACCCCCGACTATATACAGTCATATCATCAACAAGACAACCCTGTATTAGAGGGATAGTCAAGATGTACATTTACTCTTCTTGAGTGTTTAAATTCATGGCGGAAGCAGCCGGAGCGAGGTTCCCAGAATTCCCTGCTAAGGGAGCAGTTATTACGCTTAAGTGGAAATCACGGAGAGTGGCTAATTGTTTTAAACTGTTACTCTATGACAAGGGTATTATCAACTGCAGAAGCCCGAGGTCTTCAATTAACTGCCCGACGAAGGAGTGCCATTGAAATGATGGAGGGCTTCTGCAAATGATAATGCCCTGAACAACAGTGTTACCGTTATTATAGCTAAAAAGGATAGAATTTGTTATTATTTAAAAATAAACAACAATATCGGTTTTGAAACATTTACTGCAATCAACACTAATTTCACCGACCCACTTTTACAAATATGGAAAAGTCATAGAACAAGTCACCTTTCCCTATCCCCATGACATCACCTAACAACAGGCGTGATAATGGCCCGTCGTCAAGCAATATGAGGGCATTATCGAGTTACAGTGGCCTGCTCATTTCTGATAACATGCGGATGGTTTAATGATAATTCTATCAATTTTAGCTTAATGTATGCTGAATAGCGTTAACTTCATACAGCAGAACTATTAGCCAATGTGTTTGGCGTTGGCAAATCAACTGATATTTATTGACATCTTCCTCTGGCGTTGCATAAACCATCACGTGACAACATGTACATACAGTGCAGATTTGCACTTGTGTAAATTTTACATTTGCACCTGCTCCAGTCATGGTGCAAATTTGCTCTTATATACATACATAAGTAAACATGTTCACATGGCAAGTATACTCACGTGTGCATATTAACCCACATATGCAAATATACACACATATCTATAGACGTGCATATGAACAGGGTATTAAATGACATATTTCATTACCTCCCCTTGAAACAATGACAACCAACACCCCCGTAAATACTTCCTACACAGAGTGGATGCATCACTGGTCAACTGGTGTTGGGTCTCTACTACTCTGTTATATAGAGATGTAGCTGGGACTTACCAGGTCATCCACCATCTTGGACTGCGGGGGTGGGTGGCGTCGCAGCACAGCCTTCTGCGGATAAGACTTGTAAATCTTGTGGGCCACCGCCATGTTGGCCAGCAACATGAACTCCTCTATCAACCTGGAAGTAATCCCAAGTTCCTATCAGCCCTTACTCCATGTCAACATAATCTTTCTGTGCAAACCACATGTGAAATACACCTGATGAAGCAATCAACATTCCACTGGTCTCCCACCAAAGACAAGTTCTAGCCTGAGTTCCCTACAAGTCCTGCATTAGCCCCTGAAAGATCTGTTCTTAGACCAGAGCAAGTTGAAATACAGAATAGTCCTTCTGCCTGGCAAAAACAACATTTACATCAACTGAACTACAGAAATGTTAATGTGTGGTTCAATCTCATTGAAAACAGATCTAAGTTCTCGCTTCTGCAAAACAAAGGTGAGGTGAAATGGGGTTTAACGTCGCGTCCAAGATTATTGCACTTATATAGCAACGTGCACTTACGTGTGTGTGTTTGTGTGGCTGCTTGTACTAGTCCGGACTGATGCCGATTTATAGTGCTAGCTCTCTGAGATACCATGCCGCAGTGTAACATGAATACCCCACTCAGACATAGTATACTGACTCCGAGCCGACCAGTCCTTGTTTTAGCCCCTTAATGCCGAGCGCCAGACAGGGTAACAGCATGTACCATCTTTTAACGTCTTTTGGTATGATGCGGCCGGGGATCGAATTCGGACCTTACGCTCCCCGGGCAGACGCTCTACCACTAGACCACAGAAGCGGTCGCAAAACAAAGATCTGAGGACATCCCATTACAGATCACATCAGAATGACCTTTGGCGACTTTGAACGACAAATGAAATGACTGACAAGAAGTCAATATTAGCAGCCTTCTTGAGCTTTATGGCGCTTGTTTCAAACTGGCAACTTCCATTCCAGAATATGCTCAGAAAAAGATTGATTAAAATTTTGAAAAACTGAGCAAAAGAAAATTCTGGAATGTACACGATCAATATTGTATTGCAGTACCTTCCACTGGCTATGGAACGTTTCTCCCATTGAATGTGAGAGAAACACGTACATGTCATAACTGTCGCTCGGAATACCCTGTGTTAACCTTTTCATGGTTGCTTGATTAAAAATAAAGTTATGACTATCACTTTCCTGTTCTGGTTAGAGACGCTCTGATTGGTCAAATGATAGGTCGTTCTGGCATGACCCAAAATGGGATATCTTCAGACCTTTGTTTAGATTTTAATCAGATTGTGTGTGGTTCAGCTTACTTCTCTCACACATACACGAGAAACATCACAAATAGTAGTTCAGAAATGTTCAGCACTGTCTTCAACAACATGAGAATTCTAGTGCCCTGTTGACATGTGTTTTGGTACTGTGTCACAGCCAGGTTACTCCATTGTCGAGTCACCTCTCATGACGAGCACAGAAGACAGTTCTTCAACTGAGTGTTACACATCCAGACCACTGACTGCTGTTTACCTGTTGCTATCTCTCTGCTCATAAACGGAGTAGCCATTGGGCATCCCCGTATCCTTGTCAAGGGCAAATGTCAGCTTCACTTGGTCCAGACGCAGGGCACCGCTGTCAAACCGCTTCTTCCGCAGACACTTTGCAATCTGAAACAAATCACCAGTAACATTTAGGGGAACCTAGTAAAATCCTTGATATTTTTTATATTTGTATACTTATCCTGCATTACTCCTTAATGCATATTACTGCTTATTCTTGACAGAGAAAAGAGCTGTGTGAAGATCCTTGCTTGAAGTTCTTCCAACTAGTTGAGAGGCCAATGTGACCAAAGGAAGTGACGCCACAGATTCTCACATTACTCTGGAGTCCGGACATCGGAAGGCAGCGTGGGGAGGTATATCTGCAATGGGCTGATCTCTTTAGATGCAGTAATGCAGGATAAGAGTACAAATACAGAAAAAATCTAGGATTTTACTAGATTTCTTACTTATTCTGCATAACTCCTTAATGCATCTTTATCAGACGGAATCAGTGAAGGGCACACCTTCAGATGTGGACTTTCATCTCAGAACTCTCAGCCATTCCTCAGCTGTGTGGTCGGCTTGAAGTGACCAGTCCATGTATGGGAACCTCCGTTTCCCTCAGCCCGTCCTCAGCTGTGTGGTCGGCTTCAAGTGACCAGTCCATGTATGGGAACCTCCGTTTCCCTCAGCCATTCCTCAGCTGTGTGGTCGGCTTCAAGTGACCAGTCCATGTATGGGAACCTCCGTTTCCCTCAGCCCGTCCTCAGCTGTGTGGTCGGCATCAAGTGACCAGTCCATGTATGGGAACCTCCGTTTCCCTCAGCCATTCCTCAGCTGTGTGGTCGGCTTCAAGTGACCAGTCCATGTATGGGAACCTCCGTTTCCCTCAACCCGTCCTCAGCTGTATGGTCGGCATCAATGACCATTTCATGAATGGGAACCAAGAGTCCGGTATGCGGTGTGTCCAGGTACTTCACAGACACAGATGATAACCATCTCAAGTTAAAGTTGTAGACTGGTGTGCCAAGCCGTATGCATGTGGGGCACGAACCTTCTAGTCCAGGGCTTTTAAGCCAGGGGAGGTCAAGAAGCCAGCTCTGGACTGGAGGTGAGGTCAATGGCGTTTAGTAATGGTGACCTGCTGGGACACAGACGGAGCTCTTGTTCATCTCCCGCGCCCACAATCAAAGATTGGGAAGGGATGAGGAACGATCTATCTGGCTGTCCTAGGGAGTTGATTCTTGGCAATGAAGTCCCAGCACAGGCCCATGTGCTCCATGCTCAAAGCTGACGCATGTGACGTCCAAGGCGTGTAGCTCACTGACACAGTCAGCTGAAGCAAGCAACAGTAGGTAGACCGTCCTTTTTTGTCAGATTGTAGACTGACGTCGCTTTGAGTGGCTCGAAGGACGCGTCTCTCAGCGAGGTGAGAATGACGTTCAAGCCCAAGCTTGTGGACGAAATTTTGCCTTTTGGTCTTCCAACCTAAATGAGCGGAGCAGAGCCTGTAATTCCGGGATTTCCGTCATGCACCAATCTTCTGGAACTGCCAGGACGGAGTTGAGTGCCACAAGGTAGGTCGTTATGGTACTACCCTTGAGCATGCACTTGTGGCGAAGATAGAGCATGAACTAGGCCAGGAATTGAGGCGATGCAGTAGTGGGGTCTTGATATTTGCCCCTGCAAAAGCTCTCAAAGGATTGCCACTTGTGGTCATAGACACTCCTGGTGGTTGGGCGATGCCCCATCGTGATGACCTTTGCCGCTCTGGCCAAGTAGCCTTTGGCGTTCAGTGCTCTCTGTAAATGGACCAGACGTGAAGACATAATAACTTGTCTGGTCCTGGGTGTGGCTGTCTGCTGTGAGGGTGGATCAGCAGGTTTGGCCAATCTGGGAGTGGCAGCGGGTTGGAGTTGGCTAGCTCTCTGAGGTCGACAAACCAAGCCCTCGCCAGCCTCCAGGGAAGCAACCTGTTCCTATAGGTGAGCACCCCATCCCTGCAGGGAAGCCTCTATGAATAGGCGTAGAGAGGTCGAAAGCCCTGTCAAGGAGATGCCACCTAAGAAATTCGATTCCACCACTGGAGACGTGGTCCGTCCACCGAGCACTTGCTCTCGCAAGAGACAAGAGTGAAGGGTGTCACATGGCAGCTAGGTGGCTACGCACGTGCTGCATGAGGTAATTGAGATCTCTGTGGAAGATTTTGCTATAAGAGCAGTAGTGGGGGACAACAGCCTCGGTATAACAGTGGTAACATATTACTTAATGTAATATGTATGCTTTAATTTGTTTTTTCCACTGCATGGTTTATGAAACAAATATTATGAAAAACATAGGACAATATACAAAACAAAGACAAAATACTTGCAAAGGTACGACAATAGTGAAGTACCAAGCAAAAAGAATATAGAACGCAAGCCAGTTCACAACTTGCTGGCAAAGTAAAATATTCAATATGGCTACTTGAAACAACGAGACACCTGGAAAATTTCCATTGTTTTCTTTTAAAAGAAAACACCAACAGGGGTCAAAAAAGGTTATGCACATTTTACAAACATAGAATGTACAAGATACAAACCGTATGCACAACACAAAGACAATGAACATTAACTCAAGGAGCAAAACATGTGATGTTTGAACAAGTTTTTGCTTCAGATCAGAAACAGATCTTCACTCATCAAGTGACAAGAGTAATGTGAGGATCCATGATGTCATTTCCTTTGGTCACGTGGGAGCTGTGTGATAGGGTTGGCCTCTCAGCTAGTTGTTTGAACTTCTTCAAGCAAAGATCTTCACACAGCTCTTTTCTCTGTCAAGAACAAACGGTAATATGCATTAAGGAGTAATGCACATTAAGTAAAATATTTACCTGTGTCTAGAAGTAGCCTCCTACCTGTGTCCATCAGAACTCTCCTACCTGTGTCCAGCAGTAGCCTCCTACCTGTGTCTAGCAGAACTCTCCTACCTGTGTCCAGCAGTAGTCTCCTACCTGTGTCTAGCAGTAGCTTCCTACCTGTGTCTAGCAGTAGCCTCCTACCTGTGTCTAGCAGAACTCTCCTACCTGTGTCCAGCAGTAGTCTCCTACCTGTGTCTAGCAGTAGCTTCCTACCTGTGTCTAGCAGTAGCCTCCTACCTGTGTCCATCAGAACTCTCCTACCTGTGTCCAGCAGTAGCCTCCTACCTGTGTCTAGCAGAACTCTCCTACCTGTGTCCAGCAGTAGCTTCCTACCTGTGTCCAGCAGTAGCCTCCTACCTGTGTCCAGCAGTAGCCTCCTACCTGTGTCTAGCAGTAGCTTCCTACCTGTGTCTAGCAGTAGCTTCCTACCTGTGTCCAGCAGTAGCCTCCTACCTGTGTCTAGCAGTAGCTTCCTACCTGTGTCTAGCAGTAGCTTCCTACCTGTGTCCAGCAGTAGCCTCCTACCTGTGTCTAGCAGAACTCTCCTACCTGTGTCCAGCAGTAGTCTCCTACCTGTGTCTAGCAGTAGCTTCCTACCTGTGTCTAGCAGTAGCCTCCTACCTGTGTCTAGAAGAACTCTCTTACCTGTGTCTAGCAGTAGCCTCCTACCTGTGTCTAGCAGTAGCCTCCTACCTGTGTCTAGCAGTAGTCTCCTACCTGTGTCTGGCAGTAGTTTCCTACCTGTGTCTAGCAGTAGCCTCCTACCTGTGTCCATCAGAACTCTCCTACCTGTGTCCAGCAGTAGCCTCCTACCTGTGTCTAGCAGAACTCTCCTACCTGTGTCCAGCAGTAGTCTCCTACCTGTGTCTAGCAGTAGTCTCCTACCTGTGTCTAGCAGTAGCCTCCTACCTGTGTCTAGCAGAACTCTCTTACCTGTGTCTAGCAGAACTCTCCTACCTGTGTCTAGCAGTAGCCTCCTACCTGTGTCTAGCAGTAGCCTCCTACCTGTGTCTAGCAGTAGCCTCCTACCTGTGTCTAGCAGTAGTCTCCTACCTGTGTCTAGCAGTAGCCTCCTACCTGTGTGTAGCAGAACTCTCCTACCTGTGTCTAGCAGTAGTCTCCTACCTGTGTCTAGCAGTAGCTTCCTACCTGTGTCCAGCAGTAGCCTCCTACCTGTGTCTAGCAGAACTCTCCTACCTGTGTCCAGCAGTAGTCTCCTACCTGTGTCTAGCAGTAGCCTCCTACCTGTGTCCATCAGAACTCCCCTACCTGTGTCCAGCAGTAGCCTCCTACCTGTGTCTAGCAGAACTCTCCTACCTGTGTCTAGCAGTAGCTTCCTACCTGTGTCTAGCAGTAGCTTCCTACCTGTGTCTAGAAGTAGCCTCCTACCTGTTTCTAGAAGAACTCTCTTACCTGTGTCTAGCAGTAGCCTCCTACCTGTGTCTAGCAGTAGTCTCCTACCTGTGTCTAGCAGTAGACTCCTACCTGTGTCTAGCAGTAGCCTCCTATCTGTGTCTAGAAGAACTCTCTTACCTGTGTCTAGCAGTAGCCTCCTACCTGTGTCTAGCAGTAGTCTCCTACCTGTGTCTAGCAGTAGACTCCTACCTGTGTCTAGCAGTAGCCTCCTATCTGTGTCTAGAAGAACTCTCTTACCTGTGTCTAGCAGTAGCCTCCTACCTGTGTCTAGCAGTAGTCTCCTACCTGTGTCTAGCAGTAGCCTCCTACCTGTGTCTAGCAGAACTCTCTTACCTGTGTCTAGCAGAACTCTCCTACCTGTGTCTAGCAGTAGCCTCCTACCTGTGTCTAGCAGAACTCTCTTACCTGTGCCTGGCAGTAGTCTCCTACCTGTGTCTAGCAGTAGCCTCCTACCTGTGTCCATCAGAACTCTCCTACCTGTGTCTAGAAGTAGCCTCCTACCTGTGTCTAGCAGTAGCCTCCTAACTGTGTCTAGCAGTAGCCTCCTAACTGTGTCTAGCAGTAGTCTCCTACCTGTGTCTAGCAGTAGTCTCCTACCTGTGTCTGGCTGTAGTCTCCTACCTGTGTCTAGCAGTAGCCTCCTACCTGTGTCCATCAGAACTCTCCTACCTGTGTCTAGCAGTAGCCTCCTACCTGTGTCTAGCAGTAGCTTCCTACCTGTGTCCAGCAGTAGCCTCCTACCTGTGTCTAGCAGAACTCTCCTACCTGTGTCCAGCAGTAGTCTCCTACCTGTGTCTAGCAGTAGCTTCCTACCTGTGTCTAGCAATAGCCTCCTACCTGTGTCTAGAAGTAGCCTCCTACCTGTGTCTAGCAGTAGCCTCCTACCTGTGTCTAGAAGAACTCTCTTACCTGTGTCTAGCAGTAGCCTCCTACCTGTGTCTAGAAGAACTCTCTTACCTGTGTCTAGCAGTAGCCTCCTGTGTCTAGCAGAAGCCTCCTACCTGTGTCTAGCAGTAGCCTCCTACCTGTGTCTAGCAGAACTCTCCTACCTGTGTCCAGCAGTAGTCTCCTACCTGTGTCTAGCAGTAGCTTCCTACCTGTGTCCAGCAGTAGCCTCCTACCTGTGTCTAGCAGAACTCTCCTACCTGTGTCCAGCAGTAGTCTCCTACCCGTGTCTAGCAGTAGCTTCCTACCTGTGTCTAGCAATAGCCTCCTACCTGTGTCTAGAAGTAGCCTCCTACCTGTGTCTAGCAGTAGCCTCCTACCTCTGTCTAGAAGAACTCTCTTACCTGTGTCTAGCAGTAGCCTCCTACCTGTGTCTAGAAGAACTCTCTTACCTGTGTCTAGCAGTAGCCTCCTGTGTCTAGCAGTAGTCTCCTACCTGTGTCTAGCAGTAGCCTCCTACCTGTGTCTAGCAGAACTCTCTTACCTGTGTCTAGCAGAACTCTCTTACCTGTGTCCAGCAGTAGCCTCCTACCTGTGTCTAGCAGTAGCCTCCTACCTGTGTCTAGCAGTAGCCTCCTACCTGTGTCTAGCAGTAGCCTCCTACCTGTGTCTAGCAGTAGCCTCCTACCTGTGTGTAGCAGTAGTCTCCTACCTGTGTCTAGCAGTAGCCTCCTACCTGTGTCTAGCAGTAGTCTCCTACCTGTGTCTAGCAGTAGCCTCCTACCTGTGTCTAGCAGTAGCCTCCTACCTGTGTCTAGCAGTAGTCTCCTACCTGTGTCTAGCAGTAGCCTCCTACCTGTGTCTAGCAGTAGCTTCCTACCTTATCCAGCTGCAGCACCCGCTTCCTGATGTCTTCAACCACAAACCCATTTGTGATGGGAGGTAACTCTTCCTGGCTCCACTCACGATCTGGATTCTCTATGAACCCCTGGAATTGATCACAAATGTTCAATAATTTTTTTCATTGGATATTATTCCAAAAAGAAATGTTTAACTGATAAGATGAAAGTTTATCCTAAAGGGCATAATTACTTAAAACCTCATAAAGCAAAAGCCTGTGAGCAAATACTTAAGACATCCGAGGTGACATGTTTCCAGGCATTTTTCTCAGGTGAGCAAATAATTGAAGCAAGGTAGACAACTCCTCCAGAATATAAGACCCTGTTGTGTAACGCACCTGTGCATGATCGTAGCTGCATTTCACACAGGACCTGATAACAGTTCTCCCAAACCACTCATCTTCTATCTGGAAGCAAAAACCCATCAATTATATTCTGAGCACTTGTATGAAAGAAGAGTGAACAAAAGTAAGCATTATTATATCAATGAGCAATGACTCATGATTCATGAATGTGACAACAATAACACAGTGTGAACAAGTCTGTACTAGGATGTGTGTGTCTGCACAAGGATGTGTGTGTCTGTACAAGGATGTGTGTGTCTGTACAAGGATGTGTGTGTCTGTACAAGGATGTGTGTGTCTGTACAAGGATGTGTGTGTCTGTACAAGGATGTGTGTGTCTGTAAAAAGATGTTGTGTCTGCACAAGGATGTGTGTGTCCGTACAAGTACCAATGTGTGAATATACCTCTCCGTTGGCATCCATTGTCCAGAAGACAGAAAAGGTCAGCCTGTCTTTGTCTGGGTTGAGACTGCACAGCTCTTCACAAAGCAGTCGTGGCAACATCGGTATAACCTAAAACATCAGCAACACACTATACACACAGTACACACAGGACCAAGTACACACTGGTGGGTCAGCTGACTTACTTTCTGGACCAAGTACACAATGGTGGCTCGGCTGACTTACTGTCTGGACCAAGTACACACTGGTTGCTCGGCTGACTTACTTTCTGGACCAAGTACACAATACTCCATCAGCTGACTTACTTTCTCGACCAAGTACACAATGGTGGCTCGGCTGACTTACTGTCTGGACCAAGTACACACTGGTTGCTCGGCTGACTTACTTTCTGGACCAAGTACACACTGCTCCATTAGCTGACTTACTTTCTGGACCAAGTACACACTGGGGGCTCTGCTGACTTACTTTCTGGACCAAGTATACACTGGTGGCTCTGCTGACTTTTTTTCTGGACCAAGTACACACTGCTCCATCAGCTGACTTACTTTCTGGACCAAGTACACAATACTCCATCAGCTGACTTACTTTCTCCACCAAGTACACACTGGTGGGTCAGCTGACTTACTTTCTGGACCAAGTACACAATACTCCATCAGCTGACTTACTTTCTCCACCAAGTACACACTGGTGGCTCAGCTGACTTACTTTCTGGACCAAGTACACACTGGTGGGTCAGCTGACTTACTTTCTGGACCAGGTACACAATGCTCCATCAACTGACTTACTTTCTCCACTAAGTACACACTGGTGGCTCGGCTGACTTACTTTCTGGACCAAGTACACACTGCTCCATCAGCTGACTTACTTTCTGGACCAAGTACACACTGGTTGCTCTGCTGACTTACTTTCTGGACCAAGTACACACTGTTCCATCAGCTGACTTACTTTCTGGACCAAGTACACACTGGGGGGTCAGCTGACTTACTTTCTCCACCAAGTAAACAATACTCCATCAGCTGACTTACTTTCTGGACCTAGTACACATTGCTCCATCAGCTGACTTACTTTCTCCACCAAGTACACACTGGTGGGTCAGCTGACTTACTTTCTGGACCTAGTACACACTGGGGGCTCGGCTGACTTACTTTCTGGACCAAGTACACACTGCTCCATTAGCTGACTTACTTTCTGGACCAAGTACACACTGCTCCATCAGCTGACTTACTTTCTCCACCAAGTACACACTGGTGGGTCAGCTGACTTACTTTCTGGACCAAGTACACACTGGGGGCTCGGCTGACTTACTTTCTGGACCAAGTACACACTGCTCCATTAGCTGACTTACTTTCTGGACCAAGTACACACTGTTCCATTAGCTGACTTACTTTCTGGACCAAGTACACAATACTCCATCAGCTGACTTACTTTCTCCACCAAGTACACACTGGTGGGTCTGCTGACTTACTTTCTGGACCAAGTACACAATGCTCCATCAGCTGACTTACTTTCTGGACCAAGTACACATTGGTGGGTCAGCTGACTTACTTTCTCCACCAAGTACACACTGGGGGCTCTGCTGACTTACTTTCTTGACCAAGTACACACTAGGGGCTCTGCTGACTTACTTTCTGGACCAAGTATACACTGGTGGGTCAGCTGACTTACTTTCTGGACCAAGTACACACTGGGGGCTCTGCTGACTTACTTTCTGGACCAAGTACACACTGGTGGGTCAGCTGACTTACTTTCTCCACCAAGTACACAATACTCCATCAGCTGACTTACTTTCTGGACCTAGTACACACTGGTTGCTCTGCTGACTTACTTTCTGGACCAAGTACACATTGGTGGGTCAGCTGACTTACTTTCTCCACCAAGTACACAATACTCCATCAGCTGACTTACTTTCTCCACCAAGTACACACTGGGGGCTCTGCTGACTTACTTTCTCCACCAAGTACACACTAGGGGCTCTGCTGACTTACTTTCTGGACCAAGTATACACTGGTGGGTCAGCTGACTTACGTTCTGGACCAAGTACACACTGGGGGCTCTGCTGACTTACTTTGGACCAAGTACACACTGGGGGGTCAGCTGACTTACTTTCTCCACCAAGTACACAATACTCCATCAGCTGACTTACTTTCTCCACCAAGTACACACTGGGGGCTCTGCTGACTTACTTTCTGGACCAAGTACACACTGGTGGCTCTGCTTGCTGCCTTAATGTCCAGAGGTGTGCCTTCATCCAGGAAGAAGCTGACATCAGCTATGTGTACCCCCACCTTGTAGCTTCCTGCACACAGAAAGAAGTACATCTTTATCACTACAGACTGAAATACACTTTTGGTATCAGATATTTGGATGTTCATGAGAAGCATACTTGAATAACGCCTATGCTGTGTGATCTCTCTGTTGTATTTACCCTGTTCTGTCAAATGGGAATCAATCAGTGAGTGAGTTTTGTTTATCACTGCTTTCAACATAATGTCAGTTGTATTTAGCTTGTCACCTTTACTTAGGAGAAAGGACAAAAGGGACACAGGCTATAGATTTGTATCACTTCAGAGAAACATGAGTAGGGGTACGATGTGCACAAGAAACCAAGGGTGAAAATCAGGCAACACTTGAATTGAAACAAGAGTTTGCCACTAACGTGGCTATATCCCCCGCCCTTGTTGCAGAATTTATGACATAATTTTGTAGAATTTTCCTATTCAAAATATTCTATAAGTAATACGTTACCACTGTTATACCGAGGCTGTTGTCTCCCACAACTGCTGCTATAGCGAAATCTACCACAGAGATCTCAATAACCTCATGCAGCATGTGCATAGCCACCCAGCTGCCATGTGACACCCTTCACTCTTGTCTCTTGCGAGAGCAAGTGCTCGGGGGACGGACGGGCGGGCAGCAGCCCAGTGGTAACATATTACTTATAGAATATTCCGAATAGGAAAATTCTACAAATTACATTAAGTAATACGTTACCACTGTTATACCGAGGCTGACTACCACAGTAGGCGGTGGGGAGCACCTACAACCCGAATCCTGACTGCTAGCGTTCCTTCCGACCAGCGGAAGTAAACACCAAGGCGGAAGCACTGATCCAGGAATACCAAAGCACTGTCAAGCGCATACCGTAAGGCTCAATCGTCATTGCCAAAATGATTGGTGACTCCAAACGGCCTCACTGGATAGGTATTTCATCGCCGCAGCGGATGAGAACACTGTATCCTCGTGAGCTAAATCTTAGATCAGGTTAAACAGTCAAAAGGGGGAAATTAATTTCATTCAGACCGTATATCCCAGAGCAAGCCTACTTAACGTATGTATTAGGTGCATGACCAAATTCCAGTATTCGTAAGCATGTATCACTAGGTTGGAATACACGACAGACAATTAAATGCATAATTGTCAAAATACAAATAAGGACAAAACACACAAAAAGCCGCCTCACCTGTGGTGTGAGTGCGCTGGTTTCAAGGACCCCCACTCCTGTACCCACAGCGTGGGAACATTGGAGACGACCCAGATTGACCACCGTGCAAGGACTGACAACTGCGGAGTTTGGAATTGCGCTGGACAACCCCCCTAGATGACCGCTTGTGCCGCGATCAGCGGCCCAAGATGGTGCACCCCCTCCACGTCTTCATCAGAAACCTTTCTGAGGTAATGATTGGCAAAAACCGAGTCAGAACGCCAGTAACAACCTCGTAATATTCTGTGAACAGAGATATTCGAGTGTAGGGCAAATGTTGCCACTAGCGCCCTGATCTCGTGTGGGTTTGACCCCACTACAGGTAACCCCCCGAGACCGGTACGCCAGATTGATGACAGAACAAAGCCATAACACAATCGAGTTGCGAGTTATGTCAACCCTGCGATTAGGGTTACACGATATGAACAGACGGTCACGCCCTTGTCTACGGAGAAATGCTGTTTTCCAAGTCACATGCTGGAACGAAGCCCTATGCAAGGGTTCATACGGAGCTTCCGTAAGTGATTGCAACACTAGGGAAAGATCCCAAGCCAGTGCCCGTAGGCGGCCCTTCTTAAGATCGTGCTGTTTGACACCCTTGATTATACCCTGTATCACCGGCTCTTTGGAGAGACTGGTACCCATAGCAACGTCCCGTACCGTAGCAACGGACAAGACATAGTTGGCAATGGAACCCCCAGAGAGTTTCCGGGTCTCTCGCAAGTGAGACATGAAACGAGCAATATCCTGCACAGATACCTTATCTGGCGAATGAATGTGATGTTTACAACACCACTTCGTGAAAATAACCCAACGTGCATTATACACCTGGGTAGAATCACGATGCATACTAACGTATGCCCAAGACGCCCGACAAGAAAAACCTTTAGTCCTCAGACGCTCGGTGACAACATCCACTCGTGTAGATTGAACTGCCCTGCGTTTGCATGAAGCTGACGGTTGTGAGGGTGGATCAAGAGATCCGGTCTCACAGGCAGTGGAAGTGGCGACTGCGTGACCTGGGTCAGCAAGTCGGGGTACCACGATCTGTTCGGCCACATGGGCGCGATCAGTAACATTCGACAGTGAGAGCATCATGATCGATTGCCCTCGGGTCCAGGATTGGTGATACAAACAACGGGAGTTGATTGTTGAACCGTGTTGCGAACAGGTCAACCATCGGACGACCCAAACGTTCGCACAGCCACTGAAACACTACTGGGTTCAGCATCCACTCTGTGGGGCTCGGATCCTGAGGCCTCGATAGAGCGTCGGCCAGTACGTTCCGCACACCTGGCTTCCCCCAGTTCCCCTTCTTCCCGCGAAAGGGCTGCTGATGGCCCTTACTGGAGCCCTCAGGGCAGGGTTTCTTCCCGGAGGAAGAAGAACCCGACCCCTTAGACCTACCGGCCGCAGCATCATTGGGCGTGCTCCGCTTAGGAGCGGCATCCAGGCGCCTATGCAGGGACCCCACAAGATCCAGTGTGTGCCGAGAGGCCTTGGCAGACACAGCGGCCTGTTGTTCTTTTAGAACCCCAGGGATCTTGTTATTAAACAGGGTCCGAGCAGACCAAGACTGCGAAAGGAGCACCTCCTGATTAGCAGCGTCCAACCCTGAGGCAACCAGATATGACTGGCGCAGGAGAAAATGGCACATGACGAAAATAAAGGCCGAAGCCCCGGCACGTACTTAATGCGCTGGTCTCGGTCCGTGGGAGAACCTTCGACCAGACTGGCCGCTGCAGCCAGGTATGTGTCTCCGTGAGACATTGCCAGCATGGAGTGTCGAGCGAGGGTGTCCAGCTGCTGCAAGGTACCTTGTGGTACCGTGGCAGCCGGTGGGGCACGGACATCCAAACGCTCAACATGGGCTTCCGCAGTAGGACCAGCCTCGGGAAAGGCAAGGTCATGCACCCGGAAGGACCCTTTTCTCCACGACGGTGGAGGTAACGGGAGACCCCGACCGGAGGCAGCCGCGAAGGCTTTCTCCAGGGAAGGCTTAATCCCGGGCAGCAAGGTTGATGCCGGGAAAGCCTTGTCGGACGACTCGTACACCTCGGAGGAACCCACAGAGCCGTGGATTCCCCGCGGTATCGGCAGGGGCTTAGGCATGTCCTTGAAGAGGTCATAAACCATGGCCACGCGGTCCTTAACCTATAGCTGGAGCAACGGTTCTGGGGAAGGACCGGTGACCACGGCAGCCGCCGCCGTACCGGTGGACCCCACGTCCGAACCCGCGGCCACCGAAGAGGCCGGGGACGGAACAGCCAGCGGTCTATCCTGAGATAAGGCCTTTGCACTTGGTGCACCGGATGTCCCAGCAAGGAACCCTGCACCGCGGGCAACGATCGTGGGGATCCCGGGTCGATAAGAATTTGCAGCACACTCCGAGGAGCAGGGGTAGAGGGGGTTGGAACCGGGGACATTTCCATGTCAGACATTTTTGATTCTATGAACAAAGAGCAAAACATGGTTACAACGCACGCACCACAATGATTCACAAATGAGCATTTTCACAAGAAAATAAACGAGCAATGTGAACATATTACATACACATATAACGTATAGAGAAATAAGTGATGTTAACCCCCAAAACATACAAGAACAGGGCAAACGTAAAACACAACGTGCATATGCGAACCCCGCAAGTATAGAGAAAAAAAGGGCGGGAAAAATTCTCCGTTTGGCGGGAAAATTATATCCAAGCGTTGCTACCGCAACGCCCCATAAAAGCACAGTAGATTAAAGAATAAACTATAATAAATATCACCGAATATTCGAGGAACGCTTCAGCAGTCTTGGATACATGTCTTGCTAACGCAAGCAAAGGAGACAAGAGTGAAGGGTGTCACATGGCAGCTGGGTGGCTACGCACTTCTGCATGAGGTAATTGAGATCTCTGTGGTAGATTTCGCTATAGCAGCAGTTGTGGGAGACAACAGCCTCGGTATAACAGTGGTAACGTATTACTTAATGTAATAAATCTAAACAAACCCTCACCTTTTTTAACCAAGGTGGAACTTGTCATGGAAATTGTAAAAAAAAGAAGAGTTTGGAACCTAAGTCCATCTTGTTGCCATGGAAACGTAAAAAATAAAACTTTCTAAAATTTCTAAAGACCAAAAGGCACCAGTTCAGCATGTACCTGACAGACCTGCAACGTTTGATTAAAAAATATTGAACGGTTTATCAGTTATGCTCCATAAACGAACCCTACCCTCACAGAACATAAGTCCATCTTGTTGCCATGGAAACGTAAAAAACTAAAATTTCTAAAATTTCTAAATAGCAAAAGGCTCCAGTTCAGCATGTACCTGACAGACCTGCAAAGTTTCATGAAAAAAATATTGAACGGTTTATGAGTTATGCTCCGGAAACGAACCCTACCCTCACAGAACCTAAGTCCATCTTGTTGCCATGGAAACGTAAAAAATAAAACTTTCTAAAATTTCTAAATAGCAAAAGGCACCAGTTCAGCATGTACCTGACAGACCTGCAAAGTTTGATTAAAAAATATTGAACGGTTTATGAGTTATGCTCCGGAAACTAACACTACCCTCACAGAACCTAAGTCCATCTTGTTGCCATGGAAACGTAAAAAATTAAAACTTTCTAAATTTCTAAATAACAAAAGGCACCAGTTCAGCATGTACCTGACAGACTTGCAAAGTTTCATGAAAAAATATTTAACGGTTTATGAGTTATGCTCCGGCAACGAAACGTGACAGAGGGACGGATGGACGGAGGTACGGATGGACGGACGGACGGACGGATGGAGCCTGTTTCTATATTCCCCGCCAACTTTGTTGGGCGGGGGATAATAACCAGTGGATCTTGGAACATCTAAGGAAGACAACTTTCCAAGGTAATTACAGTGGCTTAGACCACTGAGTCACTGGTGCTGCCCATTAGGGATAAGTTTGGAATAGGTTTACAAATGGAAAATCATTAGAAGCATCCATTGAAAATAGCCCCAACATATGGGCAGCATCGTATTCACAGAATCATCTTCACATCAAGCACATCTACCAAATGATGTGAGGTCTGCTAAAGTAGATGTACAGTTGTTTAACATTTCCAAAGCAACCAACTGTATATTTAAATCATCAGATAATAGGACCAAGAATCCTCGATTACGATAAAAGACCTTGTCTTGCAAGTCGAAGAAAGAGTGATAACATGAAGCCATCTGTGCCCTATATTTGATTCTATTACTAACCATTCCCAAGATCCTCTATAGACATGGCATCATCCAGATCTCTAGCAGTTGATGGATCTATTGTGAAGATACATTGTCTTCGCAAATCTTGCCGATATTCAAACTCAGATTCTGGAATCACCCATGGGGAGGTTGGTAGACACGTCAGCACCTGCATCAGCATCAATACAATCAGGTACAACATATAGTGTCTTGGATCATACTGGTGTACAACATATAGTGTCTTGGATCATACTGGTGTACAACATATAGTGTCTTGGATCATACTGGTGTACAACACATAGTGTCTTGGATCATACTGGTGTACAACATATAGTGTCTTGGATCATACTGGTGTACAACATATAGTGTCTTGGATCATACTGGTGTACAACATATAGTGTCTTGGATCATACTGGTGTACAACATATAGTGTCTTGGATCATACTGGTGTACAACACATAGTGTCTTGAATCATACTGGTGTACAACATATAGTGTCTTGGATCATACTGGTGTACAACATATAGTGTCTTGGATCATACTGGTGTACAACATATAGTGTCTTGGATCATACTGGTGTACAACATATAGTGTCTTGGATCATACTGGTGTACAACATATAGTGTCTTGGATCATACTGGTGTACAACATATAGTGTCTTGGATCATACTGGTGTACAACATATAGTGTCTTGGATCATACTGGTGTACAACATATAGTGTCTTGGATCATACTGGTGTACAACACATAGTGTCTTGGATCATACTGGTGTACAACATATAGTGTCTTGGATCATACTGGTGTACAACATATAGTGTCTTGGATCATACTGGTGTACAACATATAGTGTCTTGGATCATACTGGTGTACAACATATAGTGTCTTGGATCATGGTGTACAACACATAGTGTCTTGGATCATACTGTTGTACAACATATAGTGTCTTGAATCATACTGGTGTACAACACATAGTGTCTTGGATCATACTGGTGTACAACACATAGTGTCTTGGATCATACTGGTGTACAACACATAGTGTCTTGAATCATACTGGTGTACAACATATAGTGTCTTGAATCATACTGGTGTACAACACATAGTGTCTTGGATCATACTGGTGTACAACACATAGTGTCTTGGATCATACTGGTGTACAACATATAGTGTTTTGGATCATACTGGTGTACAACACATAGTGTCTTGAATCATATTGGTGTACAATATATAGTGTCTTGGATCATACTGGTGTACAACACATAGTGTCTTGGATCATACTGTTGTACAACATATAGTGTCTTGGATCATACTGTTGTACAACATATAGTGTCTTGAATCATACTGGTGTACAACACATAGCGTCTTGGATCATACTGGTGTACAACACATAGTGTCTTGGATCATACTGTTGTACAACATATAGTGTCTTGGATCATACTGTTGTACAACATATAGTGTCTTGAATCATACTGGTGTACAACACATAGTGTCTTGGATCATACGGGGTGTACAACATATAGTGTCTTCGATCATACTGGTGTACAACACATAGTGTCTTGGATCATACTGGTGTACAACACATAGTGTCTTGAATCATACTGGTGTACAACACATAGTGTCTTGAATCATACTGGTGTACAACACATAGTGTCTTGGATCATACTGGTGTACAACACATAGTGTCTTGAATCATACTGGTGTACAACACATAGTGTCTTGAATCATACTGGTGTACAACACATAGTGTCTTGGATCATACTGGTGTACAACACATAGTGTATTGAATCATGGTGTACAACACATAGTGTCTTGGATCATACTGTTGTACAACATATAGTGTCTTGAATCATACTGGTGTACAACACATAGTGTCTTGGATCATACTGGTGTACAACACATAGTGTCTTGGATCATACTGGTGTACAACACATAGTGTCTTGAATCATACTGGTGTACAACACATAGTGTCTTGAATCATACTGGTGTACAACACATAGTGTCTTGGATCATACTGGTGTACAACACATAGTGTCTTGGATCATACTGGTGTACAACATATAGTGTTTTGGATCATACTGGTGTACAACACATAGTGTCTTGAATCATATTGGTGTACAACATATAGTGTCTTGGATCATACTTGTGTACAACATATAGTATATTGAATCATGGTGTACAACACATCGTGTATTGAATCATGGTGTACAACACATCGTGTATTGAAACATACTGGTGTACAACACATAGTGTCTTGAATCATACTGGTGTACAACATACCGTGTATTGAATCATGGTGTACAACACATAGTGTATTGAATCATGGTGTACAACACATAGTGTCTTGGATCATACTGGTGTACAACATATAGTGTTTTGGATCATACTGGTGTACAACACATAGTGTCTTGAATCATATTGGTGTACAACATATAGTGTCTTGGATCATACTTGTGTACAACATATAGTATATTGAATCATGGTGTACAACACATCGTGTATTGAATCATGGTGTACAACACATCGTGTATTGAAACATACTGGTGTACAACACATAGTGTCTTGAATCATACTGGTGTACAACATACCGTGTATTGAATCATGGTGTACAACACATCGTGTATTGAATCATACTGGTGTACAACACATTGTGTCTTGAATCATACCGGTGTACAACACATCATGTCTTGAATCATACTGGTGTACAACACATAGTGTATTGAATCATACTGGTGTACAACACATCGTGTCTTGAATCATACTGGTGTACAACACATCGTGTCTTGAATCATACTGGTGTACAACATATAGTGTCTTGAATCATACTGGTGTACAACACATCGTGTCTTGAATCATACTGGTGTACAACATATAGTGTCTTGAATCATACTGGTGTACAACACATCGTGTCTTGAATCATACTGGTGTACAACATATAGTGTATTGAATCATACTCATGTAAAACACATATTTGGGCTGGGACGAGTCCAAATTTACTACCCGGGTAACACACCCCCACCCCCACCCCTCACACCCCGATCTGGTCATGCATACAACCAGGTCCTACTCAGTACCCACTTGAGAGCCATTAGCATTGATAATCAAGTATGTTCTGTATAAAAACTGGGAACCACAACTAACACTAGAATCCTTATGATATAAATGAGTGAGTGTCTGTTGCTTAACACTGCACCAGCAAGCAGTGAGCATCCAGCAGGACATGCCAAGCTTTAACCACTGGGCTACTCCACCGCCCCTGAGAGATAGTGCTTTTGTTTGGTTTTCACTTTGATTTGAGTATGCATTGTGAGAGATCTAAATTCGAGTGGACAAACCTCCTCAGGAAAGTCGTCTGACTCCACATTATGTTCAAGAAGTATAGCCTCTGTCTCTGGCTCGATTTGGCCTGCCTCCCCCAGGCTTCGGGACAGGTGCCTGAAAGTAGCAGGACAAAGTTACAGGTGCAGGTCTAGCATGGTTACAGGTCTTATGGATATTTGACAAAAAACTGACCACATATATATGCTGTAGCGACCAGAAGAAATGTGACAACTATTTTTTATGTTTGACGCGATCCTGTATATAATCAACTGAATACATAAATGCACGATTAATGTAATGCGATGTGTTAAGTCTTGTTTGATTATCTCCCTTGTTGCGCGAAACTCGCATGTCAAGTGAGCCTAATTACTGACCGATGACACAGAAATAGCTATGTCAAAAATGAGTGAAACGAGACTATTGGTTTTGAATAATCGGCAACAAAACTTGAAAAGTTGACAGAATTACACAGAGCTACAGTTTATCAAAGTTTGAAACAATTTGAAGCCACCTAAAGCGCGTAATTGGGATGTGGGTCATCTCTAGGGGTGAATGACATACAGTGGAGTAAATTTCATGAAACCGGACGCCACGCCACGCCACGCCACGCCACGCCACGCCACGCCACGCACCAACAATGGCTACAATCAGATTGTGGAGTAAATGACACTCCACGGTACACACTAAACATAACTCAGTCCTTTATTGTGTACTCGTACTTACCCCTTCGCAAACATGGAGTTGTCCCACTCCGTGATTCTCGCTATGAAAAGTGTCTTGGCATGATCATCAGGCCGCTCAAAAAAATCTGAAAATAGTTTGACCTTGTTGTTAATCCTGACCTTGAACATATGATGACACTGATCTTATGTGTAAGGGTTATGTTTACCTTCATTCAACACAAACTAATACACACTGGCCACTGAACTCAACTGCACAAGCAGCCACACATATTGAACATGTAAATTTGACACATTAGTCTTTCTGCATGCATTAAATAGTTATCAAATCATAGTTATCATTGTGTATAATTCTATGAATACTACCTCTATTACATCATAGTCATAAATTCCTGTTCTGGCTGTAATCACAGGATAAAATCGTTAGATGTTACAAAAGACGTCCTATTCACTGCCAAACATATCTTATAGGTAGTTGTAGCTTCGCACTAGTTTTTATTTTGTATATATTGTTTACACACAGGAAATGAAGCATCTTCCCAAAGCAAGGGAGTAAATTGTTAATGCATCCGGTTCATAAATTGCTGTAGAGATTTCAGTCGACTGCAAGATTTTCACCCAACAACTTAGCGTCAACGGATACTTTCGAAATCTTTTCATGCTTTTAATTAAGGTGATCAATTGATTTGAGAGTAAATAGTTCTGTTGTAGCTTGGACTAGGTCCTGGTCACATAATTGCTGGTGCTGGAGTCAGAAAGAACTTTTAAACAATCCCTTATCACTAAGTCACTCTTAACTTTTGGAAATACTACAGTTGGGAGAGTGCATACTGAACAAGTCTATCCCTTGAAACTCAGTGTACTACTGTTTCCATGGCCAGGGTAGCACGGCAGACACATGACGCACTTACCTTTAGGGCATTCCGACATGGGCACCTGTATCCTCGGTACCCTGGAGTCTGTTGGTGAGAAGAGAGCCACATCCCGATTCCGGTCCTGCATCAGTTTGATATGTCCGCTGCACACACGGGAGTGCTTTGCCTCCACCACTGCCACGACCTGCAACACATCTGAACAGTCACTTTATGAACCTAAGTGTCAGCCATGGGTGGCATTCACGCTTACACCACACAACAGCCTGTTGTATCATTTTGCTCAAGAAATCCATCGAGAAAGACCACAAATTCAAAAGTCTCACCTTTCCTGTTCTCTGCAGCAGTTTGTCTCCGTCCCCCGCATCCCCCTGGTCCCCCGCCCCACCCATCAGGGCCTTGGCCTGGGGGCTCCCCTGAGACATCACCTCTCCCAGTGACGTGTACGTCTTGCGTGGGGTGGCATGTTTGTGCTTGTGGTTCTCACCTTGTGGCTTCTCTTTGGCTTCTGTCAACAAGTATTCTTTATTAAATCTAAACATAGGTGACCTGGATTTGTATCAAGAGACATATAAGTCTTTTAGTAATAAGTAAACAAGTGTTGGAGACCAGCTAATTTCAGTGCATGATGACTGATTACAGTTATCAACATGGTGAGTATCGGGTCACAGGACGACTGTGCCACACAATATCATGTTTACCCATATTACTCCCATCGCCAGATTGTGCTCAATGCTCAATGAACAAATTAATCAGTGCCTTAAGTCAGACAGTAAAAATTACATCAAGGCATCACATTTAAAAAGCAGAACAACAGAAGTCATATGCAGCAGTTACAAGAAATAATATTGTTAATGAGATGGTTCTTTGCACTTCTGGTTCAATGACATCACTTTCAATTTGGGAGTGAGTGAGTGAGTATGGTTTTACGCCGTTTATAGCAATATTCCAACAATATCATGGCGGGGGACCCCAGAAATGGGCAACAGACATTGTACCAATTTCAGGAATCGAACCCGGGTCTTCGGCATGACGAGCGAACGCTTTAACCACTAGGCTACCCGAACGCCCCTTCAATTTGGGAAAACACATGTTTAATGTAAGACAACTTAAACACATGACGACCCATACCTGTGGCTGCATTAAGAAGAAAGTCATATATGGATCTATCTCACCTTCACCATCTCATCATGTCTCCATTACAATACCCTGTTTACTCAAGTGCTGAACCTGCATTCATTCGAAATATCCAAAACATCAGCACTACAGGGCAACTGAGATTTATGTCTTCACAAACCTTGGCTGATTTGCATAACTTCTTCCACAACAACATCCGGACCTGAATCACTACCGTCATCCCTTGCCACATCTCCTTCACCCTGACCCCGATTTGGCTTGACCTTGGCCTCTTTGCTCTGAAGATCATCTACATAGACCTTCAAGATATTCAGAATGACAATAGTTAAATGCCCTACATTTGCATGCACGATGCAAAAAGTTCATCAACTGACAGCACATACAACAGAAATGGACAGATGTCAAGTATATGTAGGATATAACATACTCTTGAAACTTCAAAATTTCTACACACAAAGTAAATCCTATTGATGACACACATTCATATTCGGAACGTCCAATTGCTGGAATCTCCCTGACTTTCGACACACATCTACCGGCATACCTCAGCTGTGATATTTTGTTTGTTGTCTAACACCACACTCAACAATATTCCAGCTATATGACAGCTGTCTGTAAATAAATGAGCCTGCACCAGACAATCCAGTGATTGACATCACGAGCATCGATCTACACAATTGGGATACAATGACATGCATCAACGAAATGAGCGAGCTCGCCCACATGATCCCGTTAATCGACTCTTACAACAAGCATGGGTAGCTGAAGATCTACTCTGTCTAATGAGGCATATTTTTAGTGAGATAGAGAGTGCATCACTCCAGAAGAATACATGAGTGCTGTAGACAGTAGACACCCTACACAAGCAAACTTCACCTTCCACTCCTGTTTGTCCAGAAGCTGCACTGCCACAATGTCACCATTCAGGGCTCTGTTCCGATTGTTCAGGCCAGAAATATAGATATCAGCTGTCCCATCCTGGCAAAATACATACAGATAGTTGTCATCGTTCGATAGAAATCTAACACCTTGAGAATCTCATGCAGGTGGTTGAACACTGAACCACAAAAGAAACGTCACCCCAAGTAACATTGCATGAAAAGTTGTCATTTAAATATCTGGGTAATTTTTATCAAAGTTTCCAAAATTACCATGTCTGGAAAAATGAAATTTTATGATAAAAAAACAAAGCAGATGACAATAAAACCGATCGCCCAAACACATAACGGCAACAGACATGGTAACCCGATGCATGTGAGTTCCGTGCAAATTAAATTGCACATGCGCTCTCCCATTTCTTGCCCGATAAAAATTGGTCTTGCGCAGTGGATCGGCCCTGTGGTCTTCCAGAACATCGGTCAAGGGAGAGGCTATGGTGTCACAGCATCTCGGTACATTGATCAAGTCTTGCCATACCCCATTTGGCACCTCGCCACAACCACGAGTTTCAGCATGATAACGCCCACACTGCGAGAGCAACAAGAGACTTCCTCCAGCAGAATGGCATCAGAACCATGCAGTGGCCTGCCCTCAGTCCCGATTTAAATCCCATTGAGCACCTGGGGAACGAGATTCAAAGACGGCTGAATTACGTCCGACCAAGGTCGACAACTGAAGCTGAACTGTGTTAGGCGTTCCTCAGAGTGTGGGTTAAAGTGCCTATGGCCTTCATCAACCGCCTCATACATTCCATGTATCGACGTTGCACGGCAGTCATCAATGCACATAGCGGACACATGAGATACTGACTTGTGATGCCATTTTCTCAGAGACTAGTGTTGTGTTTCAATTTAAGAACATTTGACACTTTTATTTCAATCTTGATGATCGGTTTTGCCAAGTTTCATTGTTCATCTATCTATCCATGGTGACGTTTCTTTTGCAGTTCAGTATAGTTTTCCCTACATGTTGTAGAAGGTCATCACGGGGAAACATCTACAGATAGTTGTCTCTACATGTTGTAGAAGGTCATCACGGGGAAACATCTACAGATAGTTGTCTCTACATGTTGTAGAAGGTCATCAAGGGGAAACATCTACAGATAGTTGTCTCTACATGTTGTAGGTCATCACGGGGAAACATCTACAGATAGTTGTCTCTACATGTTGTAGAAGATCATCACGGGGAAACATCTACAGATAGTTGTCTCTACATGTTGTAGAAGGTCATCATGGGGAAACATCTACAGATAGTTGTCTCTACATGTTGTAGAAGATCATCACGGGGAAACATCTACAGATAGTTGTCTCTACATGTTGTAGGTCATCACGGGGAAACATCTACAGATAGTTGTCTCTACATGTTATAGAAGGTCATCTACAGATAGTTGTCTCTACATGTTGTAGGTCATCACGGGGAAACATCTACAGATAGTTGTCTCTACATGTTGTAGAAGGTCATCACGGGGAAACATCTACAGATAGTTGTCTCTACATGTTGTAGAAGGTCATCACGGGGAAACATCTACAGATAGTTTTCCCTACATGTTGTAGAAGGTCATCACGGGGAAACATCTACAGATAGTTGTCTCTACATGTTGTAGAAGGTCATCACGGGGAAACATCTACAGATAGTTTTCCCTACATGTTGTAGAAGGTCATCACGGGGAAACATCTACAGATAGTTGTCTCTACATGTTGTAGAAGGTCATCACGGGGAAACACCTACAGATAGTTGTCTCTACATGTTGTAGGTCATCACGGGGAAACATCTACAGATAGTTGTCTCTACATGTTGTAGAAGGTCATCAAGGGGAAACATCTACAGATAGTTGTCTCTACATGTTGTAGAAGGTCATCACGGGGAAACATCTACAGATAGTTGTCTCTACATATTGTAGAAGGTCATCACGGGGAAACATCTACAGATAGTTGTCTCTACATGTTGTAGAAGGTCATCACGGGGAAACACCTACAGATAGTTGTCTCTACATGTTGTAGGTCATCACGGGGAAACATCTACAGATAGTTGTCTCTACATGTTGTAGAAGGTCATCATGGGGAAACATCTACAGATAGTTGTCTCTACATGTTGTAGAAGGTCATCACAGGGAAACACCTACAGATAGTTGTCTCTACATCTTGTAGGTCATCACGGGGAAACATCTACAGATAGTTTTCTCTACATGTTGTAGAAGGTCATCACGGGGAAACATCTACAGATAGTTGTCTCTACATGTTGTAGAAGGTCATCATGGGGGAAACACCTACAGATAGTTGTCTCTACATGTTGTAGAAGGTCATCACGGGGAAACATCTACAGATAGTTGTCTCTACATGTTGTAGAAGGTCATCACGGGGAAACATCTACAGATAGTTGTCTCTACATGTTGTAAGTCATCACAGGGAAACACCTACAGATAGTTGTCTCTACATGTTGCGGAAGGTCATCACGGGGAAACATCTACAGATAGTTGTCTCTACATGTTGCGGAAGGTCATCACGGGGAAACATCTACAGATAGTTGTCTCTACATGTTGTAGAAGGTCATCACGGGGAAACATCTACAGATAGTTGTCTCTACATGTTGTAGAAGGTCATCACGGGGAAACACCTACAGATAGTTGTCCCTACATGTTGTAGAAGGTCATCTACAGATAGTTGTCTCTACATGTTGTAGGTCATCACGGGGAAACATCTACAGATAGTTGTCTCTACATGTTGTAGAAGGTCATCATGGGGAAACATCTACAGATAGTTGTCTCTACATGTTGTAGAAGGTCATCACAGGGAAACACCTACAGATAGTTGTCTCTACATCTTGTAGGTCATCACGGGGAAACATCTACAGATAGTTTTCTCTACATGTTGTAGAAGGTCATCACGGGGAAACATCTACAGATAGTTGTCTCTACATGTTGTAGAAGGTCATCATGGGGGAAACATCTACAGATAGTTGTCTCTACATGTTGTAGAAGGTCATCACGGGGAAACATCTACAGATAGTTTTCTCTACATGTTGTAGAAGGTCATCACGGGGAAACATCTACAGATAGTTGTCTCTACATGTTGTAGAAGGTCATCACGGGGAAACATCTACAGATAGTTGTCTCTACATGTTGTAGAAGGTCATCACGGGGAAACATCTACAGATAGTTGTCTCTACATGTTGTAGAAGGTCATCACGGGGAAACACCTACAGATAGTTGTCCCTACATGTTGTAGAAGGTCATCTACAGATAGTTGTCTCTACATGTTGTAGGTCATCACGGGGAAACATCTACAGATAGTTGTCTCTACATGTTGTAGAAGGTCATCACGGGGAAACATCTACAGATAGTTGTCTCTACATGTTGTAGAAGGTCATCACGGGGAAACATCTACAGATAGTTGTCTCTACATGTTGTAGAAGGTCATCTACAGATAGTTGTCTCTACATGTTGTAGAAGGTCATCACGGGGAAACATCTACAGATAGTTGTCTCTACATGTTGTAGAAGGTCATCATGGGGAAACATCTACAGATAGTTGTCTCTACATGTTGTAGGTCATCACGGGGAAACACCTACAGATAGTTGTCTCTACATGTTGTAGAAGGTCATCGCGGGGAAACATCTACAGATAGTTGTCTCTACATATTGTAGAAGGTCATCTACAGATAGTTGTCTCTACATGTTGTAGGTCATCACGGGGAAACACCTACAGATAGTTGTCTCAACATGTTGTAGAAGATCATCACGGGGAAACACCTACAGATAGTTGTCTCTACATATTGTAGAAGGTCATCATGGGGAAACATCTACAGATAGTTGTCTCTACATGTTGTAGGTCATCACGGGGACACCCCTACAGATAGTTGTCTCTACATGTTGTAGAAGGTCATCAAGGGGAAACACCTACAGATAGTTGTCTCTACATGTTGTAGAAGGTCATCAAGGGGAAACATCTACAGATAGTTGTCTCTACATGTTGTAGAAGGTCATCAAGGGGAAACATCTACAGATAGTTGTCTCTACATATTGTAGAAGGTCATCTACAGATAGTTGTCTCTACATGTTGTAGAAGGTCATCACGGGGAAACATCTACAGATAGTTGTCTCTACATATTGTAGAAGGTCATCACGGGGAAACATCTACAGATAGTTGTCCCTACATGTTGTAGAAGGTCATCAAGGGGAAACATCTACAGATAGTTGTCTCTACATATTGTAGAAGGTCATCTACAGATAGTTGTCTCTACATGTTGTAGAAGGTCATCACGGGGAAACATCTACAGATAGTTGTCTCTACATATTGTAGAAGGTCATCTACAGATAGTTGTCTCTACATATTGTAGAAGGTCATCACGGGGAAACATCTACAGATAGTTGTCTCTACATATTGTAGAAGGTCATCACGGGGAAACATCTACAGATAGTTGTCTCTACATGTTGTAGAAGGTCATCTACAGATAGTTGTCTCTACATATTGTAGAAGGTCATCACGGGGAAACATCTACAGATAGTTGTCTCTACATATTGTAGAAGGTCATCATGGGGAAACATCTACAGATAGTTGTCTCTACATGTTGTAGAAGGTCATCACAGGGAAACATCTACAGATAGTTGTCTCTACATGTTGTAGAAGGTCATCTACAGATAGTTGTCTCTACATATTGTAGAAGGTCATCTACAGATAGTTGTCTCTACATGTTGTAGAAGGTCATCACAGGGAAACATCTACAGATAGTTGTCTCTACATATTGTAGAAGGTCATCTACAGATAGTTGTCTCTACATGTTGTAGGTCATCACGGGGAAACATCTACAGATAGTTGTCCCTACATGTTGTAGAAGGTCATCACGGGGAAACATCTACAGATAGTTGTCTCTACATGTTGTAGAAGGTCATCACAGGGAAACATCTACAGATAGTTGTCTCTACATATTGTAGAAGGTCATCTACAGATAGTTGTCTCTACATGTTGTAGAAGGTCATCACGGGGAAACATCTACAGATAGTTGTCTCTACATGTTGTAGAAGGTCATCACAGGGAAACATCTACAGATAGTTGTCTCTACATGTTGTAGAAGGTCATCTACAGATAGTTGTCTCTACATGTTGTAGAAGGTCATCACAGGGAAACATCTACAGATAGTTGTCTCTACATATTGTAGAAGGTCATCTACAGATAGTTGTCTCTACATGTTGTAGGTCATCACGGGGAAACATCTACAGATAGTTGTCCCTACATGTTGTAGAAGGTCATCACGGGGAAACATCTACAGTTGTTGTCTCTACATGTTGTAAGTCATCACAGGGAAACATCTACAGATAGTTTTCTCTACATGTTGTAGGTCATCACGGGGAAACATCTACAGATAGTTGTCTCTACATGTTGTAGAAGGTCATCACGGGGAAACATCTACAGATAGTTGTCTCTACATGTTGTAGAAGGTCATCACGGGGAAACATCTACAGATAGTTTTCCCTACATGTTGTAGAAGGTCATCACGGGGAAACACCTACAGATAGTTGTCTCTACATGTTGTAGAAGGTCATCACAGGGAAACATCTACAGATAGTTGTCTCTACATGTTGTAGAAGGTCATCACGGGGAAACATCTACAGATAGTTGTCTCTACATGTTGTAGAAGGTCATCACGGGGAAACATCTACAGATAGTTGTCCCTACATGTTGTAGAAGGTCATCACGGGGAAACATCTACAGATAGTTGTCTCTACATGTTGTAGAAGTCATCACGGGGAAACATCTACAGATAGTTGTCTCAACATGTTGTAGAAGGTCATCACGGGGAAACATCTACAGATAGTGGTCTCTACATGTTGTAGAAGGTCATCACGGGGAAACATCTACAGATAGTTGTCTCTACATGTTGTAGAAGGTCATCACAGGGAAACATCTACAGATAGTGGTCTCTACATGTTGTAGAAGGTCATCACGGGGAAACATCTACAGATAGTTGTCTCTACATGTTGTAGAAGGTCATCACGGGGAAACATCTACAGATAGTTGTCCCTACATGTTGTAGAAGGTCATCACGGGGAAACATCTACAGATAGTTGTCTCTACATGTTGTAGAAGGTCATCTACAGATAGTTGTCTCTACATGTTGTAGAAGGTCATCACGAGGAAACATCTACAGATAGTTGTCTCTACATGTTGTAGAAGGTCATCTACAGATAGTTGTCCCTACATGTTGTAGAAGGTCATCTACAGATAGTTGTCTCTACATGTTGTAGAAGGTCATCACGGGGAAACATCTACAGATAGTTGTCTCTACATGTTGTAGAAGGTCATCACGAGGAAACACCTACAGATAGTTGTCCCTACATGTTGTAGAAGGTCATCTACAGATAGTTGTCTCTACATGTTGTAGAAGGTCATCACGAGGAAACATCTACAGATAGTTGTCCCTACATGTTGTAGAAGGTCATCACGGGGAAACATCTACAGATAGTTGTCTCTACATGTTGTAGAAGGTCATCACGGGGAAACATCTACAGATAGTTGTCTCTACATGTTGTAGAAGGTCATCAAGGGGAAACATCTACAGATAGTTGTCTCTACATGTTGTAGAAGGTCATCTACAGATAGTTGTCTCTACATGTTGTAGAAGGTCATCACGGGGAAACATCTACAGATAGTTGTCCCTACATGTTGTAGAAGGTCATCTACAGATAGTTGTCTCTACATGTTGTAGAAGGTCATCACGGGGAAACATCTACAGATAGTTGTCTCTACATGTTGTAGAAGGTCATCACGGGGAAACATCTACAGATAGTTGTCTCTACATCTTGTAGAAGGTCATCACGGGGAAACATCTACAGATAGTTGTCCCTACATGTTGTAGGTCATCACGGGGAAACACCTACAGATAGTTGTCTCTACATGTTGTAGAAGATCATCACGGGGAAACACCTACAGATAGTTGTCTCTACATGTTGTAGAAGGTCATCACGAGGAAACATCTACAGATAGTTGTCTCTACATGTTGTAGAAGATCATCACGGGGAAACACCTACAGATAGTTGTCTCTACATGTTGTAGAAGATCATCACGGGGAAACATCTACAGATAGTTGTCTCTACATGTTGTAGAAGGTCATCACGGGGAAACATCTACAGATAGTTGTCTCTACATCTTGTAGAAGGTCATCACGGGGAAACATCTACAGATAGTTGTCCCTACATGTTGTAGGTCATCACGGGGAAACATCTACAGATAGTTGTCTCTACATGTTGTAGACGATCATCACGGGGAAACATCTACAGATAGTTGTCTCTACATGTTGTAGAAGGTCATCACGGGGAAACATCTACAGATAGTTGTCTCTACATGTTGTAGAAGGTCATCACAAGGAAACATCTACAGATAGTTGTCTCTACATGTTGTAGAAGGTCATCTACAGATAGTTGTCTCTACATGTTGTAGGTCATCACGGGGAAACATCTACAGATAGTTGTCTCTACATGTTGTAGAAGGTCATCACGGGGAAACATCTACAGATAGTTGTCTCTACATGTTGTAGGTCATCACGGGGAAACATCTACAGATAGTTGTCTCTACATGTTGTAGAAGGTCATCACGGGGAAACATCTACAGATAGTTGTCTCTACATGTTGTAGAAGGTCATCACGGGGAAACATCTACAGATAGTTGTCTCTACATGTTGTAGAAGGTCATCTACAGATAGTTGTCTCTACATGCTGTAGGAGGTCATAAGTGTAGCTAGATTACTCACAGGCAGTGGCACATATGCTTCAGAATAATTCCTCTGGTTTACTCTGATTGGCCCCTGAAACAAACAGGTTATTATGTAAAATAAACACGGTTCTCTTGTGTTGTTCACTGTACATGTTGCATGCGTGGAGAGAAATAAACCATGTACATTGATAGCTAGGCCTTAGATCAGAGCCAAATTAGTGAATGTGAAAAGGGTTTTCGTCATTCTTACATACTTTAATGGCACACTCTGAAATACTATTTTTTAACATAAATGGTGAGTGAGTGAGTGAGTGAGTGAGTGAGTGAGTGAGTGAGTGAGTGAGTGAGTGAGTGAGTGAGTGAGTGAGTGAGTGAGTGAGTGAGTGAGTGAGTGAGTGAGTGAGTGAGTGAGTGAGTGAGTGAGTGAGTGAGTGAGTGAGTGAGTGAGTGAACACATTTACCACTAGACGATCTGACCGGCCTATTTATTATTTGAATCCAGTGATAATGTACAAAACAAAATGGACTATCAGAAGGGGAATGAACAGTTAGAAACAGAAAACACCATTACATATTATACAGACAAACATTTTCTTTTTTTTAAATTCAACTAGCCCCTTCATAAAACTTGCTTCAGGAACTTCATTGTTTAAACACAAGACAAATGAAAGTCTGTGAAAGATCCTACAATGTGTGTGATGTCATAACCAACTAAAGTACTGTCGAAAATGCTAGAAAACTGCTTTTCTGGCTTCATTTAATAAATACGAGTCATAGGACTATAGGAATAGCATATATCAAAATAACGCGAATTGCCCTAATCTAGCCTGTCTTAAATGACACTGTGATTACCGTATTCGACGTAATAAGCGCCCAGGGTGCTCTCAAAAATTAGAAATAGGGGGCTCTTATTAGAATATTATTTTGGTGGAAAAAAACAGAGTTAAAAGGTAAATTTCGAGGTTTATGCTGACGGCCTGAACTGTTTATATACGACAGATATATTTTTCCAGAATTTAATTGCCCATAATTAAGGGTGCATATAACACACGAGTGTGTATTATACACAAATAAATAAGTCTTGTGTACTTTGATCAATCAGAAGGGGTGCTAATTGGGATTGTTCACTAGCCAATATATTAGCAAATATCGCCGGGGGCGCTTATTAGAGCGGGGCGCTTATTACATCGAATACGGTACCCTTAAAATGAACTTTTACAGGTAAAATGATGATAAACTTAGAAAATATTTGTGTGTTGTCATGCATGTATGAAATGGCCTATAACCTGTGGTAATTACCTAACACCTGTCCTGAGGTGATGACCTCACAGGGTCGTGTGCATTCTCCCAGGTGCAAATGTCATGTGTTGATGAGGTAGCAATTTAGGATATGTACTGCATTATATTTGCTTGGAAACATGATGGACTAAAGTACTCATGGAAATGAAAAAAAACTGTTTTGCTGGATTAAATCGACACAAAGCATTACGTAGATGTAAATACGAAATAACAAAACAAATGGAAAAGTACTAGTCTGGTTTTGCTAGTTTTATCTCAGTGCTCTATACAAAATGTACTTTACAGGAGGTAATTTGTAGGCACTTTCAACATTCAAAAATAAAACAGTCCAATTGGACATGGCAGAAACAGGCTATAGGCATTATGCAAATTAGCCTGGAAAAAAGTTATCAAAACAACAATAAAAATAACAGCTATGTTTAGGTACATAATAATAATGACATGTAAGTTGTTGTTTGAGAAGGGATTATGTTCCTTTTACGTTCTGATATTTTGACGATGATTCACTATCCCACAATGCCACTCAACAAATCACTAACCACTCACAAATCACATGCACGTGGGTTTCAAGCACCTGTTTTCACCTGTCGTCAAGGTGTCATAGGTCATGGACATTCACCTTGATCTACTAACACCTGGTTATGTTCAGTTTCACAATAGTCTGTTTTGTTCATATTTTTACACACTTTTACGTGTAAAAAGACATAAAAATCTTTGATACGCTGTATTTGTGCCAAGGCCCAATTAGTACTAATTGAGTTGTTTGAATATTTATATATTTTGTATATTAACTGCATTTATTTAAAATCTGAGAAAATCGAAAATCGAAAAAACAGGTTTTCTTCATTGCGGTGAGTACTTTAGTTAAGAGCTATGAAACGGGGTGATTATTGAAAGGTTGCGGTTTTGGAATCCAGAAGTATTTGTTGTTCTACAGATGGTTTCTTGGGGTAGCATTTATCTCTGCTGATGACGTACATGAATCTGTACTTTTGAATGTTGTGTTATGTCTTGCCACGAACCCTGTACATTTAGCCAAGATAGACACAACAGGGTTGAGCTCACAATGTCTGACTGCCGTACGTAAGCCAACGTAACCGTGTTGTGCCGCCAGCACATGTGTCTTGTACTTTACTGGTTTCTTATTCAGCTGAATTTTCTCAATGAGTTGAACCTTCGTTTCATATGGTCTGAAGTCGACCAATGTCATATATTCCTGTCTGGTCGCCTTCAGACTACTCATGGTTTGGGCGACAGTATCTGATTCCCGGACATGATATTAACTGGCGTTATCCATGACAATCACACTGACGTTGTTTAAAATGGGCAATAGCTGAAGTTCCAACCAGTCTATGAACACATCATCTCCTATCATTTCCTTATGAAAATCACCAGTTTTCTTTTTCACCTCGAAAACATCCATCAATAAGCCCCATATCATGGGTTGCAGCGTGCAAAACAATGACACGATTACCTTTACCATGGGTGCTTTTTGATATTTCAATAACAAAAGTCTGTGAAAAATTATATCCCTTTTTAACAGGCAAAAAGCAGTTTTCTAGCATTTCTGACAGTACTTTAGCCCCCTCATAAAACCAGCTTCAGGAACTTCACTGTTTAAACACAAGACAAATGAGTGTCTGTGAAAGATCCTACAATGTGTGTGATGTCATAGCCAAGACCCTGATGAGAGCTGTCAGACAAAAGTGTTACATGTGTAAGTTTTTATATGCAAGTAGGTGCTGTGATGCATACCTCTATCAATGTCCCTCTCTTCAGGCCATCAGCTACTTCCTCTTTGGATAAGTGGTGTTCAAACTTGGCCTGAAATATACAATGTAGAATCCAATTGTCCTGTCTTCCATATTTTGGAATAAAATGCCATAAAAAAAATGAAAGAAAGAACATATTGCATACCTGCTTGGTTTTTATATTCCATTTTCTTCTATCCTTCTGTCCATGACTTTGATGACCTTCACTTGTCTGTTGACCTTCACTGGATTTGCCACTTCTATTTTGACCTTGACCTTCATCTGACCTATTCCTGTTGCCTCTATGACCTTCGTTTGGAGGTGGACCAGTTCTGGCTCCTGCATGATGATTCGGGTGGTTCCTTCTCCCGGGATAATCCCTTCCGCTGTGCCCTTGATATTGCTGACTAGGGTAGTCTTTACCTTGGAAATGTTGACCTGAAAGGTTATTGCCCTCACCCTGATGCCCTTGACTTGATCTAGGTGACATGCTACGTGGACTTTGTTCATATCTATCATTCCACCGCGGTGCTGGTCCATCTCCAGGATAATGTCCACTTTTATTCCTCCCTCTGCCCCCCCTTCTGCTATCTCCGCCCCCACCCCTGGAACTCCCTCTCGGATTATTTCTCCTCTGATGAGATCTTCCTTGAGGTGACGGGGCTACCCCTCTCTCCACATCTAGAAGGAAGTCAAGGAGACAATGATAATCACCACACATTAACTTGATGACTAAAAAGAATAATTTTTGCTATTAACAAATTGACAAAAAGGTTTGTACTACAACATTATTAATTTATTATTATTACGAATTGTTAGACAAGAGCTGTTTTGACCTTCAGCCATATTATTTCACTGCAAATTGAAAGGATAAAGAAAACATGTTTATTTAGCAACTGCCATGTTGGCTGACAACAATATCATAGTCTCTTCAGTTAACATGGCAGCACAGCTAAGTCAAGGGAAGACATCTCTTCCATTCAATTCTAAAATGAGATTTTCAATGCTTCAAAACCAAAAATGAGAGCCACATGGCACTGTAGCTCACCTGTCTATTTTTCAGAATATATAAAATGTAAGTAATTCCATGCCATGATGGAACATTTCCTGCTGTTGTGTAAGCTATACCAATTTAGTATCTAGCCAGTGAGTGGCCCTGTGCTGGTGATGGTAATTCAATAAACATTACACAATGGCACAATGGTTTGCTTCTGCTTTTTAAAAGCCACATAAACACTTTTAACCTTGTGTTGTTCAATGAGGAGATATTCAGAAGGTAATTATCGGGAAATTCTGTGACAGTAAACCTGGGTGATATATGAAAAATATTCTGAATAGTATAGATAACTTTTAGGCAGATTCTTCTTATTCTTATGATATATGTCAGAAAAACTTCTTAACAATCTTGCTACAAAGGTTAAACAAAGGCATGAAGTCAATGGGGCACATATGTTTACATGTGGTGATCAATGGGGCACATATGTTTACATGTGGTGATCTATAAGGCACATATGTTTACATGTTGTGACCAATAGGGCACATATGTTTATATGTGGTGATCTATGAGGCACATATGTTTACATGTGATGATCAGTAGGGCACATATGTTTACATGCTGTGACCAATAGGGCACATATGTTTACATGTGGTGATCAATAGGGCACATATGTTTACATGTGGTGATCAATAGGGCACATATGTTTACATGTGGTGATCAATAGGGCACATATGTTTACATGTGGTGATCAATGGGGCACATATGTTTACATGTGGTGATCAATAGGGCACATATGTTTACATGTGGTGATCAATGGGGCACATATGTTTACATGTGGTGATCAATAGGGCACATATGTTTACATGTGGTGATCAATAGGGCACATATGTTTACATGTGGTGATCAATGGGGCACATATGTTTACATGTGGTGATCAATAGGGCACATATGTTTACATGTGGTGATCAATGGGGCACATATGTGTACATGTGGTGATCAAAGAGGCACATGTTTACATGTGATGATCAAAGAGGCACATATGTTTACATGTGGTGATCAATGGGGCACATATGTGTACATGTGATGATCAAAGAGGCACATATGTGTACATGTGGTGATCAAAGAGACACATATGTTTACATGTGGTGATCAAAGAGGCATATGTGTACATGTGGTGATGAAAGAGACACATGTGTACATGTGATGATCAAAGAGACACATATGTGTACATGTGGTGATCAAAGAGACACATATGTTTACATGTGATGATCAAAGAGGAACATATGTTTACATGTGGTGATCAAAGAGACACATATGTGTACATGTGGTGATCAATGGGACACATGTTTCCAGGTGATGATCAAAGAGACATATGTGTACATGTGATGATCAAAGAGGAACATATGTTTACATGTGGTGATCAAAGAGACACATATGTTTACATGTGATGATCAAAGAGACACATATGTGTACATGTGATGATCAAGGAGACACATATGTGTACATGTGGTGATCAAAGAGACACATATGTTTACATGTGATGATCAAAGAGGAACATGTTTACATGTGGTGATCAAAGAGACACATATGTGTACATGTGGTGATCAAACAGACACATATGTGTACATGTGGTGATCAAAGAGACATGTGTACATGTGATGATCAAAGAGGAACATATGTTTACATGTGGTGATCAAAGAGACACATATGTTTACATGTGATGATCAAAGAGACACATATGTGTACATGTGATGATCAAGGAGACACATATGTGTACATGTGGTGATCAAAGAGACACATATGTTTACATGTGATGATCAAAGAGGAACATGTTTACATGTGGTGATCAAAGAGGCACATATGTGTACATGTGGTGATCAAAGAGACATATGTGTACATGTGGTGATCAAAGAGACATGTGTACATGTCGTGATCAAAGAGACACATATGTGTACATGTGGTGATCAAAGTGACACATATGTGTACATGTGGTGATCAAAGAGACACATATGTGTTCATGTGATGATCAAAGAGGCACATATGTGTACATGTGGTGATCAAAGAGGCACATATGTGTACATGTGGTGATCAAAGAGACACATATGTGTACATGTGGTGATCAAAGAGGCACATATGTGTACATGTGGTGATCAAAGAGACACATATGTGTTCATGTGATGATCAAAGAGGCACATATGTGTACATGTGGTGATCAAAGAGACATATGTGTACATGTGATGATCAAAGAGACACATATGTGTTCATGTGATGATCAAAGAGGCACATATGTGTACATGTGGTGATCAAAGAGACACATGTGTTTACATGTGATGATCAAAGAGACATATGTTTACATGTGATGATCAAAGAGACACATATGTTTACATGTGGTGATCAAAGAGACATATGTGTACATGTGATGATCAAAGAGACACATATGTGTACATGTGATGATCAAAGAGACATATGTGTACATGTGGTGATCAAAGAGACCTTTGTTTACATGTGATGATCAAAGAGACATATGTTTACATGTGGCAATCAGAGAAGCGCATATGTTAACATGTGATGATCAATTGGGCACATATGTTTTTATGGGATGATCAAAGAGGTATGTATCTTTACATGTGGTGATCAAAGGCCACAGCAAGTTGGAAAATACACCAACACATGTATTTGATATACCAAATACTTACTGTTTATCAGATGACATCATACAGCAATTTAGAAAAATGGGAATTCTGTGAGCAAATTGTAGAGATATTATTGCAGTCTACGACTTGTCTGAAGCACATGTCTTGTGAAATAAATGTCTTCTGGCCTAGCAAGATTAGCTATTATACTGGTAATAATTTTAAGACTAAAATATCAAGTTTGGGCCAGTCGACTTAACATTTTGGCACAAAGTGACAATGGAAGGATCATCTATCAGTACCACCTGTATTCCGGGTCAAAAGTATAAATTCTGCAACCACTTTTTGATAATTTTGCACACAATTCTGTGAACTTTTAAGCCTGGTTTTCGTGTTGCACCTGTTTGACTTGTGGCTGGCATGTTTCGGACAAACTTATTCATGCCTAGTATAGCTTATTAAAGTGAATCTGGCTATCACTAATGTAAACATATAGACGAGTTCACTTCAAAAAGAAATCTGGATATTGATTCCATTTAACTATTTTTCAAAACGTAAAATGCTTAAAGATTGATTGTAATTTTTTTTCCATGTAACACAAACGCCTCAAATAATTATTTGGAATGATTTAATTAATACAATGCACAATTCAGATAATGACTGTTCGTTTCAGCAAACTTATGCAACCTTTACACATTTAAAAACATCGCTCAATCTGTAAGTTAGAATGCTGTACATTTCTGCTTGAGTGGACATTTCTGCAAATATTCCGTGACCGCAGAATCACAAAATACAGCGGGGACTGATCCTTACAAAATGCGATCATCATAGGCGTGTATCTACAGTGGACAATGGCGAACCATGGACAATGGTCAAGATGTTTACAACAGACAGGCAGACAGCATGCCATGACACTGGCTCACTTGAACCTTCTTCCGTTCAGGTGAGTTGAAAATGGCTGACCACCCTCAATGCAAAACCATTGTGTTCACATCACTTGCAAGCCAAATTGTTTTACTACTACACCCGTAGAGCAAAGCATAAAATGATGGAGATATGAGCTGCTCTACAGACTTACAATAAATTCCACAAGGTCAATATAAATTCTTAAACAAGAAATTACAGAGAAATAAACTAAAAGCAAACAAAACATCAATAACCAAACAAAAGATGTTAGTCAACCCAAAATACAAATAAAAAACAATTATCTTTAAAGAGATTTCCCGAGATATATCTGACAATGATATTAGCTAGAATAAAGCACTACAGTTAAAAGCCCAAGCTAAGCTATGCATAATATGACTACAGGACTATGGTAGACCACCCATCATTGCCAAAAGTCCAAATGGAAATGTTACCTGTGAGATATTTTCAGATATCAAAGTAACTTATATCAATCTCTAATTTAACAGATAGATGAATGATATATCCTATGATATCATGAGAATAAATTATCCATATCCATGAGAATATGATCCAATCACATATAATAAGTTTATGCAGATAATATTGATAGAAACTGAGGATATTAAACTGAAAAAAGGACTACTTGGCCCCCATATCAGTGTGTTTCTCCCCTCCGACTCACCAGCCAGCCCTCTGTCACTTTCCTCAACATGGGATTTCCTTTCTTTCTGTGGGGACTGCTGGACAATCTGACCTTCAGAGTCATCTGGGAATCTTTCACGTTGGCCATTATCCTCATACGTTATGTCTGCAAACTGATGGAATCTGCCTGAATAGCCATAGTCCTTACTCGGTTTACTTCTGTCCTGTAATTCTTTCTGATATCTTTGTTTTTTCTTTTGTTTCCTGGACTGTTTTATTTTATGAGAGTCACTGCTAGCAGCATCTCCATCATATTTCTGATCCTGATCATGAAAGCCTCCTTCTACAAAATGTGGACTGTCCTCTGCATACTGGAAATTAGTCATATTACCATCCCTTTCACCACAATCCTTCTTCTTGTGCTTCTTCAATTTGTCTTTCTTCTTGAAAGGAACATCAACCTGCTCTTCCCACCGGCCCTCTCTGGGCCCTCCTTCAGGACACCATCTGTCTTGATACTGAGCATGCATGTCATCCACGTCCTGAAACCTTTCATCTTCTCTTGTCTGGTTCCCATAACTGCTTTTCTTGTTCATTTTCTTCTTATTGTCCTGTCTTCTACCACCAGCGCCAACACTGTTTACAAAACTACTGTAGCAGTCAGTCTCAACATGTCGTGTCCCATCTCCTGTGGCAGTAATTGTCAGATTCATGAACCCTCTGTCCTGCACAGTTTCAAATGACCCGCTATCTTCAAGCATATGCATACTCTGATTAGAGGACTCGGACTCAGAATGAGATCTTCTGACATCTTGCGTAGAATATTCTCCTGGCTTTTGTCCACTATGACTGGAGGAATCTGATCTGTCTGTCCTTGACCTCCTGAATTCCCTTGATCCCCGCGCTCGCCCCCTTCCTCTTCCTCTCCTGCTACCCTCATCAGAAACTTGACCTCTACCACGACCTCTGGTCCTTCTCTGATTCCTTATTCTGTATCTCTCTTCATTATTATCTTTATCATCATCATCAACATCATCCATAAACTTGCCTGACATCCCAGTGTTGTCATAATAAACATGCCTTGAACTGTTACCATCATCTAATTCATTCCTAAAATATGCCAGTGCACCTTCTACAAGAGCATCCTCTTCTCTACTTCTCTCATGCCTATCAAATCTATTGAACTTTTTACCCTCCCTCTTTCTCCTGCCAACCTGATGCCGCAGATCCCCTGGGTCCTCATCTACACTCCCATCATCAAAATCCTGAAGTTGTTCCACGTGCTCCTCGTCAGCGGCGTCTCTCGCAGGGAAGTCTTTGTTCTGCCTCTTTTTCTTCTTCCTGTTCTTCTTTCCTGGTTTAGTATTTCCTGCAGCAGCATCCTCTCCTCCCTGTTCCTCCCCCTCCCCTTTCACCTCCCCTTTCACCTCCCCCTCCCATTTCACCTCCCCCTCCCCTTTCACCTCCCCCTCCCCTTTCACCTCCCCCTCCCCTTTTACCTCCCCCTCCCCTTTCACCTCCCCCTCCCCCTCCCCTTTCACCTCCCCCTCCCCTTTCACCTCCCCCTCCCCTTTCACCTCCCAGTCCACACTTTTCTCTGTGGTCTTCCTCAGCAGATCACTGTAACCCATTCCCGGAGGATTCCTTGACCCTCTACCAGACCTTTTCCGGACACATTTTCCTGGTGAAACAGATCTGACACTGCTTGAAGACTTTGGTCTTACATCGCTATCAGCACCTACAACAGCTTCCTCCAGTTCACCTTCTCCACAAGTGTTGTGCTTTTCTTCAATTTTCTTTTCTGGTGTAAAACCATCCAGTGTTAGAAGTGTTTCACTTTGAATTTGTTTTGCAGAATCTGATATGTTTATCTTGTCAGTATGTGAGGACTCTATTTGTTTTAATTCAGTTGTGTTCTCTGTGACAAGTTCTTTGGCTTTGCCCTCTTCAACAGGAAGTATTCTCAAGGCATCCACCTTGGAGTCACACAAAACATTGACTTCGTCTCTGGCATCAGGAACATAATCTGGTTGTTGGCTCTCCTGAAGTAAAAGGGTGTCAGAAATGATTTCAATCTCAGATTCCTCATTCATTTTAGTCCCCACCATGACCGACGTCGTCTCCCCTGCAGATTCATTGAGTGCTGCATCCTTTGTACTGGACCTGACTTCATCCCCATCACATGCAGACGCAGCAGCAGGAATGTGGAGATCAGTTGTCGTCGCGGGCCCAGTTCCAAAGGTCCCTTCTGCTTCCACATCCACATCATGTCCAACATCAGCAGGTAATAGCGATGTTGAAGAATGTATATCAATCTTGGTGACACTGTGCATGACTGTGCATGTTTGTTCTGATGATGGAGGGCAATGAGGGTCAAACTGGGCAGATGTGTCTGGTGCAGCACCATCACCCTGTGTAACCTGGTCTGTGGTGACACCATCAGTGACAATCACTTCTTCTCCACTGTTGCCCTCACACTTCTCTTCATCCCTTACTTCCTCTCTTCCTGAGTCTTCCGTCTCTAGACCATCACCTTCCTTACCATCCATTTCTTCACTTCTTAAAATTGTAGGCTGATCATCTACTATTTCTTCTGTAACAGTATGTGGTTGTGATCCACCTGCGGCACAAATGTTGTTATTACCCCGGCATTCTACATCGGCAGTGTTAGTTGCATCAACAGAACTCACAACAGGGTTATCTCCCTTAGCATGCACGTCACAGTTATGGTCCTCAGGTCCATGCAATAGGGTTGTGTGTCCATGCAAACTTGTGGTTTCAGAGTTACTGGTTGATCCATCATCAACCACATCAGACATCAGATCATCATTACTGTCCTTACCTGATCTTGCTGATGTATCCAGCTGGGATTTACCTGAGACATCTTGGATATTTTTCCCTGTCTTGCTTGACTCTCTAATACTGATAGATTTAAGTTGCTCCTCCACATCTTCAACATCAGCTATCACTTCTGGCTGGTCACTTTCAGAGGATGCCATGGACACTTCTGGATCTTATCTTGTTGACACTTAAACAGTCTGAAAAAAAGAACAGTCAATATTTAATAGAACTACAAGGCTTTGCCACTCACCTGAATTTAGGATTTACTACATAATGACAACAAAGGGTTATCAACTCAACTCATAGCGTATTCCAGTGAGTTATTTTATAATCAACAGCCAAATATGATTTGTTTCTAAAATGTCAGGAAGACAAAATTTAAAATGTAGATGTAACATGCTTTATCCATGTGAAAAGCAGATAGCTAGCCAGCATACACGTAGAAATGGGACAATCTATGAAGCTAGCCAGCATACACGTAGAAATGGGACAATCTATGAAGCTAGCCAGCATACACGTAGAAATGGGACAATCTATGAAGCTAGCCAGCATACACGTAGAAATGGGACAATCTATGAAGCTAGCCAGCATACAGGTAGAAATGGGACAATCTATGAAGCTAGCCAGCATACAGGTAGAAATGGGACAATCTTTGAAGCTAGCCAGCATACACGTAGAAATGGGACAATCTATGAAGCTAGCCAGCATACAGGTAGAAATGGGACAATCTATGAAGCTAGCCAGCATACACGTAGAAATGGGACAATCTATGAAGCTAGCCAGCATACAGGTAGAAATGGGACAATCTATGAAGCTAGCCAGCATACACGTAGAAATGGGACAATCTATGAAGCAAGCCATCATACAGGTAGAAATGGGACAATCTATGAAGCTAGCCAGCATACAGGTAGAAATGGGACAATCTATGAAGCTAGCCAGCATACAGGTAGAAATGGGACAATCTATGACTCTAGCCAGCATACAGGTAGAAATGGGACAATCTATGACGCTAGCCAGCATACACGTAGAAATGGGACAATCTATGAAGCTAGCCAGCATACTGGTAGAAATGGGACAATCCATAAAACAAGCCAGCATACAGGTAGAAATGGGACAATCTATGAAGCTAGTCGGCATACAGGTAGAAATGGGACAATCTATGACGCTAGCCAGCATACACGTAAAAAAAATGGGACAATCTATGAAGCTAGCTGGCATACAGGTAGAAATGGGACAATCTATGACGCTAGCCAGCATACAGGTAGAAATGGGACAATCTATGAAGCCTGCTAGCATATAGGTAGAAATGGGACAATCTATGAAGCAAGCCAGCATACACGTAGAAATGGGACAATCTATGAAGCCTGCTAGCATACAGGTAGAAATGGGACAATCTATGAAGCTAGCCAGCATACAGGTAGAAATGGGACAATCTATGAAGCTAGCCAGCATACACGTAGAAATGGGACAATCTATGAAGCTAGCCAGCATACACATAGAAATGGGACAATCTATGAAGCTAGCCAGCATGCACGTAGAAATGGGACAATCTATGAAGCTAGCTGGCATACACGTAGAAATGGGACAATCTATGAAGCTAGCCAGCATACAGGTAGAAATGGGACAATCTATGAAGCAAGCCATCATACACGTAGAAATGGGACAATCTATGAAGCTAGCCAGCATACAGGTAGAAATGGGACAATCTATGAAGCTAGCCATCATACAGGTAGAAATGGGACAATCTATGAAGTTAGCCATCATACAGGTAGAAATGGGACAATCTATGAAACTAGCCAGCATACACATGGAAATGAGACCTTGTATGAAGCTAGCCAGCATACTTTGTTTGTTTGTTTATTTAAAGGGGCACTGATCTAAAGCGATTCCCCGGGACTGGTTGTTGCCTTTGTTATTGTTTTTTACCCGGATGATACGCAACGCAACTGAGTGTGACAAGAGACTGGGCTACCGTCTGCAAGGACAGCTAAAGAAACTTGGAGGCAATATTTGTTTTACCTATTTTTGAACACTGATTGGTTAACCGTGATCTATAAAGATTTCGACAAAGGGCGCATGTTAATTAATTTCTTCAGCCTAAAAAAACGGTGGAGTTCATCGGATGTTGTCATTTGGAAATACCCCTAATTGTTATAGTCTAATAATTAAAAAAAGTATCCATGCAGTGAAAGTATTTTCGGATTTCGGATTGCGTCGATAATACGATTACAACTCCCTTGTTGTCATCCACGTTTTCTGGTATAACCCTACACTTGTGTATTTGATGCTCAGTTAATGAATGTATTACGGGTATTATTAGAGGTAGCACCACTCAGATTACCTGACAAAGGTTCCCATTTGGCATTTATAGTGTCTGGGGTAATTATTCAATTTAAATACAGGTTTGAAGTGAAGTGAAATGTGTGTTATGTAATATGCACGTGGCAGCCCAGCAAGAGATGAATGATCAGTTGATTTACTTTTTTGTAAATTAACAGATCATTCCTAGTCATCAAAGTATTAACAGAAATACATTGATTGATAAATCACTGTTATCTTGCACAGTGGATATGTCAAAAGTAAATGTTTACATGTCTAGGTTTACTAAAACAAAGGGAATACAGTCATATCGTGGCGTGAAGTGCCGATGTAAAAACACCATACTTTGTTCAAAGGGTTAACCGATAATCCGTTGATTGATTGTTCATTGTTATCTAACTCAATGAATTTCTTTAGGAACCGTGGAAGTTATGAAAATAGTTGTCACATGGGTTTTCTCAGCCGACCTTTGAGACTTGACACCTATGTGAAACACCTGAAACAATCTAAGTGATAAGTTGAGAAACAAACACAGGTTATAATATCTGAAACGATATATTTATTTTAAAATATTTGATTGTTACAGAGACACGTGACATCAAATAGGTTTCTTTGTACAGCTGCAGACGTGTGGGATATTGTTCCTTTGTGTGGATATTCACAGATACATTCCTCGAACAAGGAAGCTGCCTAAAATTACACACATAAATTTGGTAGGTTGCAATTATGATATTTGCATTTTGTTTTCCTTTATTTGCTGTAGCATTGGACAGATTCATTCTTGTTCCTCTACGTCTTGGTTGGGAAATTCTTCGATGTGCGATAGACAGTGTTTTCACAAGTCTTTTCCTTTGTAAGCGTGTATATATTACAGTCAATTTGTAAAATGTGATTCTCTCAGGCAATTTATAATTTCATTTTGACTGAAAAATCTGTCCATTTCTTTAACAGATTGACTAAAATTGATTAAGACGATCAAAAGGGCCTAAAAACATCACAATAGATTATTATGTAGGATTAGAAGCCAAACAATATAGAAATGTACTTTTCATCGAAACAATTTCAGTCTCTTGGAATTCGTTGTCATAATAATACAGATGGATATATTTTTCAGTCAATTTGTAAAATTACTGAATATTCCGGCGTTTAATAAATTTCCAAAGTGAAAATTTTGCACATTTTGACTGTAAAAATATAAACACGATAAAATAAGCAATGCTCAGGAGAAATATTTACTTTGTGTTGCA